AAAACAAAAGACTTTACCATAGGTTTTTTTTTTTTATATTTTCAGAATTTTTGAAAAAATGACATTTCTTAATACGAGGATGGACTCTGCTCTGAAACCAAAGCATAATCTCATGCACAATAACTATCCCCCTTATCTCACATTGATGATGGCACAGAATTAAAGATTTTATAGATCAATGAACATCAATAATGGTAAAGATAACATTAAACCCTTGAGCCATAATACGGAACCAAACCAGTAAGCAAATACTTTCTAAAGTTATTGCAAAAATTACACCCTGATCAAAAAAATGCTTTCAATTGAATTAGCAGAAATATTAACAGTAACATTAACAGTAAAATTAACCAAAGAGTCACATTTTTAGACTGTTGAAGGAAGCAGGAGTATCTGATGAGAAGCAACGAGTCAGAAAGAGTCTAAGAATGAGCGAATACAGGTGAGGTCAGAATAACATGTTTCAGGTTTTCCACTTGTAAAATTTCACTCAGTCTCAGCTAACATCGGGTCGTTTTAGGAAAGGTTATTTTTTTTATTTTTGCAATTGTACCTAAGTGATTAAGGTTTCAAAGAAATTGTAGAACAACCTGTTAAGCTTAGACTTTCAAATACTAAAAAAGGCTTTTTAAAACATAGAGACTTGTCCATCAAAGAAGAAAAATTACAAACACAAATATAAACACAATCTTTATAGGAAAAAGTTCAACAGCTCAAAATTTGAATGTTAGGACGGTTCTTTTCTAACAACAAAAAAACCCACCCACAAACTTCTAATGCTTTGATTCTTGTCGTATTAGTTAAATTTGTAAACATATTTAGCAGGGTAAGGTAGGGTAATGGTAATTTCATTATTGTTTCATTACACTCATTATATGCTTACATGTTTTTCCCCATTCTTGCTTTTTAGTGTGAAAAAAGAACAAAACAAAAACATGTCTAAACATGTAATACGAACATGAAGATATTATAGGCACTGTTTTAAAAGAGGTTGAAAATTAAAAACTTATGTAACAAATATATATTTTTTTTGCTAAGAAAGAGCTGCTATTCATTATAGTATATATATAAATAAAGTCCTCTTCGTTTATCAAACAGTCAGTTTTGAAGATTATAAATTATCTTTTATAAAATTGGATACATGTAGGTTTTATATTCAGTTCAGTTTATTTATATAGCGCCAATTCACAACACATGTATTCTCAAGGCACTTTACAGTTCACCAGATCATCCTGTCAAATTGTTTCAAAGTTTTTTATCTAATGAAAACCAGTTGATTGTATCGACTCATTGACTCAAAGGCAATGTTTTACATTAAATATGCTTGTAACGACAGTAGAGAGGAAAAACTCCCTTTTAACAGGAAGAAACCTCCAGCAGAACCAGGCTCAGTGTGAGCGGCCATCTGCTGAGGCCGACTGGGGTTCAAGAAGACAGAAGCAGAGATACAAAAAGCAACTGTAAAAGGCGGCCCCGTCCAGGCAACACACAGCACAGATGAGCTGCAAGCCATCTCCCATGTCAGATAATGAAAGAGAGCACATCCAGCCAGTCACAGCCAGAGAAACAGGACTACACTGAAAAACAGACCAAGTTCAAAGATCTATAAACAAAGGTGTTGGTGGCAGCAGGACAACTGATATTTCTCTCCAGGATGGCGTCACAGCCAAGCAGGAACAGACGAGATGAAGCTACAATGAGAAAAAGCACAGAGAGCAAAGTCTTAGTGATTGACCTAACAAATTCTGCAGAAAGATAGAATGAAGCAGAATGATATCAGATTTCTAGGGGGGTCAGAGGCCTCCACACCACACACAGCAGCGTTATCTCATACGCTGGATGGCAAAATGCAGCATAAGTCAGAGAGCCACAAAAGAAATAAATAAAAGCTCAAACAAGAAAAAGATGCAAAGGGATGACAGCATGTCACCAAATACTCTCTCAGGCGAAACAGTTGATAGAAAGTTCTGGAACTGTTCTCTTTTCCTAACTTTGTCCATCGATTATAAGCTAGCTCACTTTTCTCAATGTGAGCTTTGTGAGCATAAACTGGATTTCTACATTTAACTGTTTCATGGAGTTTAACAAAAATATATTATTTATTCACATGTACTGTCTTGAGTTTAGAGCTTCAGGCGTTCTTTCGATTTGCGTTCTTTATTGTTTCTAGTTTTCTAAAAAGCTTTAGTCCCAACTCGACCAGCGTTACCCTATAGCCTAAGCAGCATTTGTTAGGCTAAAAGCTATTCAGAATCAACGTAGGGGTCCAGAGCTCATTTCCTTCATCGGAAAGTGTTCTTACATTTAACCCCGCAAAAGATGAAGGAACAGGAGCTAGGAACTATAATCTGAGGTATTTGGACTGAGCCATTATTTACACCTTCTTCCTTTCCTTTTTCTTTACCTGTGTGACATGGCTTGTGAGCGCCCCAATTGTATGGGAGAAGTATTAAAACATGTACTAAAGATTTATCAAATTTAGGCTGGTTTTTATATTTACGCTTAAGCCTTTTCTGTCTGGATCCTTTATTTGACTTTGTGTGCCCTACACCAAACAGGACCAAACAGGCTGGCAGCAAGTTCATTAAACGACTGCACCTTCCAGGCAAATATGCAAATCTGTAATTATTCCTGACGGCTCATTTCTCTCATTCTTCAGTTGTTGAGGCCAAGGAGTGGCGATCGTAAAATGTTCTATTATTTGGGTCATACTTTTGCAGTATTAAAACCGTTGCAGCCCTACACAATCTTTTACACTCAGGAAATTGGAGCAGACTTGGAGGAGGGCCCAAAATGTTTAAGTCCTACGCTGTTTGAGAGTAAATCTCCAGCTCTTGCCTTGCTGGGTGAGTAGGTAATTAGCTTTAACTTACAATTAGGTCATCCTGAGTTAGTGTTGCTGTTATTTTAAACCTTCAGACTGGGCTAATCCATTTCCCCCTTTTATGTGTGTAAACATACACCAAGCTCCAATCCTGTGGATGGCTCTGGGGTGCTCTGAAATGGGCCATGTCCTCCTGTTGAAGCCCTCAGTGCATTTTCTTTTACATTATGATCAAGGTGGCTCAACTGGAATTATCAGCTGCCCTGACCACTGGTGCTGATATGCACAAATTAACCCCCCCCCCCCCTCTTTTTTTGTAATTTTTAAGGTCATTTGGGGAGGTAAAGCATTTTTTTTATCAGACATCCAATGTCTTCTTTTGTGAGATCTCCGTCAGATTTTACATTTTATCCTTTACCTTACACACACTGCATTTCATGATATTTTATGTCATGATATGGATTAGAAAACTGCATGTATCCATTTTTTTTTTCAGTCCTACGTACTTTACTTAAAATATCAAAATATATCATGTCACCCATCCTTTAAATACTATTAGGGATGGGGGGATGGGGAACCAGTTAATAATATCCATTCCCTCAGTCTAAGTGAGTCAAAGTGCAACTTCTCCTTTTCTCTGAAGCCCTTCTTAGGTTGTTTCTGGTCAATAAGCCACCACATTATAGAGATATTAAATACCAGATTAGCAGAAGCTGTAGAGTGATGTACTGTAACAAGTGACATAAGGAAAACATAAATAAAACTCATAATTTGATCTATTTTACACAGTCATATCAATTTCAATAAATCTCTCAAGATGATTTATTCAAACAGAGCTCGATTAAGTAAAATGTAACAAAATGCATTAACTAAATCCCACACAGGTGTATCACAGGTGCATGCAAGAAAATCATTACTCAGCATTTCGAAGATCTTCTCTGTTCAAACCTTGAGATATTTAGTGTGGTGCAACAAGTCTGGTTAGGGATTTAAAGAAGTCTCCACTGCATTGAAAATAGCCCACAACTGGTGAAAAAAAGCCATTAAAAACCCTAAAATGTCCTAATGGAAGCTGCAGGGTTAAATACAGCAGCAGATATTTGAGTTTATATGGCTGACCGTGTCTAACTTTTATGGAAAACTTGTAAAATAGGCGGTGAAGGTCAGAGAAAACAAAGAAAGAATTTCTTAAATATTATTATTTAAGGCTCTGAAATTAAGTTAAATTATATTAGCTCAATAATGGGGACATAAACACAAGTTTCCTGGGAAAAAACCTCAGCAGCTGATAAGCATGGAGGTGGATGTGGCATGGTCTGGGGAAACTGTTGCAGCAGGATTGATCTGTCTACCCTTATAGGGTCCAGCATGAATTCTCCCATGAAGCAGAAAGTGTTTAAGGAAAATATGAGACTTCTCCCATGTTTTTACAGGTTTGATGAGCTCTGGCTGTGGACAATGTTGGACAAGCTGGTGGGTTTGGTGAGTTTGATGGAGGAACGGGAGCTCAGCATGCCATGAGGTGATCTCCAGGGCAGGTAGAGGCAGGCTAAGTACAGGGAATACCTTCCAGTACAAGATTGTTTCATCAAGTTGAACAATGTTGGAGTGGTGAGAAGTTCTGCTTCACTCTTCATGCTGTGTAAGAGTGTCACTTATCTAAAGACAGGATGTCTCGGCTTAATTTGAGTTGTAAAACAATAAAGAGAACCTGTGATTTAAATGGTATTATTATTCCTCATTATTTGAGGCTAAATTTGAAAACCTTAAACAGCAAATGGTTAACAATCATTGTGAGCTCTGCCACCTGGATTTTATTACCAAATGAAGCAGTTTGGCTCTTCCCTTTTTGTTAAAATTTTACAGCATGCCAACCCAACTTTACTTCTCTCAGTCATTATGCATTTAACACTTTTGTAAAAATTGATCTATAAAATATCCTCTCCTCTTAAGTAGCCCAAAGTGTAAATCCGTTTTGCCAATAGTCCATTAAAAAAGAATCTGCTATCTGTAGGTCCAACCATAGGGTCTACCGCGCCCCTTATTTAGATCCTTTAACATCTGTTCTTTGTTTTTTATTGAGAAATCAATAATTCAGGAAGACCTTTGCGCAACAACATAAGGAGGTTTCAAGCCCTGCCTCTGGGACTCTAAAGGTTGTATATTAACACGGCCCTGAGGAAAGGGCAGCTCAGAGGGACCAAGGAAGTGTGAATGACCTGGAGAGGAGAACCTGGATTTTTCTCAACAGGAACCTGCCTTTTTGTTTTGTTTTTGGCGGATTAGACCTGATTTTCTTCTTGCAGCGTATCATGGACTCTTTTTAGCTGCTCAGATTAATCTATCCTGACTTTAAAGGTGAAAATGAGCCCATGCTGCTGGTGGCTGATAGTGTTCACCTTTTGGGCATTTGCTGCTCTGTGTCGAGGCAACGGACAATGTGGGACCGGGATCACTATCAACGTGATTCTTCTGGAGGACGAGGAGTCTCCTTGGAGCCTGAAGTATGTGGAGAGCGAAATCGAGGAAGCAGTATTGAAAGATAACAATATTAATGTTGCACAAGGTAAATGAGAACAGAAACATGTTGATGTGACTGTCAGTATCATAAAATGATCATGGGTAAATAACTACTGTACCTTTGGAGTCTAGCTTTAGGTTTACTGCTGTGTTTATTTGTTTAATAGGGGAGAAAAACTGATAAAACTGTTAAGATGTTTTTCCCACAAAAAAATGTCTCTGTTTGTCAACTGTGAATTTGCTTAAATTTTTTAAAACCTGTTTTTACAGAGAAATTTACCACATAAGCTGTATAAATCAGCTCCGCCATTTCCTTCAGCAAAACAGATAAGATATTATATGGTTGGTGCAATAAATTATCTGGCTGTTAGCAAGAGTCATTTGCACTGTGTAATTTAAGATTTTTTTTCATTGCATTTTTTTTTTTTTACTGTCAGTCTACACGAAAGCTTGACTGAGGCACAAGCAAACTGTATTGCAGAAGAGATGCAGGGAAAAGCAGCAGGAAAGTAGCTTTGGGGAGATGGGGTTTCGGCCTCATGCTTTTTAAGGGACTTCAGTTTTTCTGCTAAAGAATTAGCAGCCTCAAAAAGTTCAATAAAAAGAAAAGTGAAATATAAAAGTATAAGTTCTGCAAACCATTACAACAGAAATTCGATTTTAGCTTTTCTAATGCGTTCCCTGTCCGCTAGCTGGAAGTCCAAGTCTGTGAATGTTTTCAGTTGGTCATCCTCTCTCCGTTTATAGATGATGGACTGAACAGAGCTTAAATGTTCAAATCTTAGAATATTGTTTTAGAACCAAACCAAGCTTTTAACTTCTCTAGAACTTTCTCCTGATCTGCCTTCTGTGTTCCTTGGTCTTTATGGTGTTGGTAGCTACTTCATGATATTTAATAATCCCAAAGGGAAATTTCATGTTGTAATTCTTATCAGGGTTTCTTAAACAATAAGCTTTAGCTGTTGATGCTTGTAGGGGCACGATGGTTCTCTTGTAGTAGATCTGGTGAGGGGCCAAACGTATTTTGCCGATGTACAACATTCCGATGAAAATGTTTTGTTTATACTGTGATGTGTTTCAGCAGACCAGTCAGGGTAGAGTGAGGAATAAATACAGCGATATACAAACATATTGGATAAAACCTGCTCCAGAGTGCTCTTAACCTCATGCTACGTTCTCACCAGATGCGTTTGGGGCAGCAAAAATGCGCCCGTTGCTTCATTTTTGCAACTTCGTAGCTATTTTAATAACCCCAAAGAGAGGTAGGAAATTGGTTTAGTTCCAGAAATGGAATATGATTTACTAGGTACCACATTAAGCACAGCCGGTGATAGAAAACTAGCTACTTACCACCAGAGTTGCCTTCCATGCTGGTCGTAACTTTAGCTTCTGTCCGGAAGCATCAAAAACACGGCATTCGTTAAAATGTGTGCCATGTTGTGTGCGCAGGTGTTTCTGCCTGTTGGATGTATTTCCTCCCACGGATGTAATTGCCACTTTGCAATGATTGCAAAGCACCTTGTCTCCATCTTTCTGTTTTGCTTTTCTAGACTTATGCCCAGTGACGTCGTACTTGCATTTTGAATGCCGTGTGCATGACTTGCGTAAAATACGTGATGTAAGTCATGCTGCCCAGCGCTAGGCTCTGGTGCTGCCTGGAATGGTAACAAGAATCGTTAAGTGAGCTGCCAATGTAATTGGAACACACGGAACTGGTTCTGAACAGGAACCGGTTTTCAATTCACATCCCCAGTGATAAGTGGGTAAAACATATTTCTAATATGTTTTTTAAGAAAGAAAGTCCACCTCAAAACATTGTCTGTGAAGTCACATTTCTTTCTGTGAAGAAAATAGTATTTCGCTGTCGGAGCCGCTCAGACCCCCACATACTGTACAGGCGGTGTGCTGTCACTGGGAGTCAGAGATGGCAAAAGTACTCACTTTCCGTACTTGAGTAAAAGTACAGATACTTGTGTTAAAAAATACTCTGGTAAAAGTGGAAGTACTGATTAAACTTCTTTACTCAAGTAAAAGTAACAAAGTACAGGCTTGTAAATTTACTTAAAGTATAAAAGTAAAAGTAGAAACCACTTTTTTCATGCCGTTGCCTACATTTTAAATGGATGTCTGCCAATAGGACTACATCTCCGTTGTGTTTATTTTCAATCATCTCGTCGTCCATACTACTATGCTAACGCCACCGCCACCAAGCTGCAATGATTTGCCGCGAATGAATACCGCCGAATCTGTCGATTCATCTTGTAGTGGTGTGTCAAATGCACCGTAGATTCCCATCCAATTAGATTGAATTTGGTATTGATGATGTGAAAAATAATAACGGTAACTCCATTGAAATGATTCAAAACTAAAGTAACGAGCCAATTTTTTTAAAATGTAAGGAGTAGAAAGTACAGATATTTGTGTAAAAATGTAAGGAGTAGAAGTAAAAAGTCGCCATAAAAATAAGTAGTAAAGTAAAGTAAAGTAAAAATATCAGAAAAATCTACTTGAGTACAGTAACGAAGTATTTGTACTTCATTACTTCCCATCTCTGCTGGGAGTCCCCAGCAGCAGCTGCCTCAGATTCAGTCACCACTTAGGGGTTTTCCTGGCTGTTGTGGACAGAGATGGGAAGTAACGAAGTACAAATACTTCTATACTGTACTCAATTAGATTTTTCTGATATTTTTACTTTACTTTACTACTTATTTTTATGGCAACTTTTTACTTCTACTCCTTACATTTTTACACAAATATCTGTACTTTCTACTCCTTACATTTTAAAAAATTGGCTCGTTACTTTAGTTTTTAATAATTTCAATGGAGTTACCGTTATTATTGTATTAGTATGGACGACGAGATGATTGAAAATGAACACAACGGAGATCTAGTCCTATTGGCAGACATCCATTTAAAATGTAGGCAACGGCATGAAAAAAGTGGTTTCTACTTTTACTTTTATACTTTAAGTAAATTTTCAAGCCAGTACTTTTGCCATCTCTGGTTGTGGATCAGAAGTAGATGTTAGCGTTATTCAGATAAGTGATCCCAACTGCAGGCACCAGAATAATAAAAGAGGACCTGTTTAGCCGGCAGTTTTCGACATTTTAAGTTAATTTAGCTAATAATCTGTTTCAGGGGAGTGATCATAACTCTCTACATCAGTAGTACTGTGTCTGCCTTCCTGCCAGCTCCAAGATAAGCCGCTCTGATTGGTTGATGTGGCGCATTGAGCAGAAAAAGTTAAATTTTTCCACCTCCAGCATCTGTGGTTTGTGAAGGGCGTCATGCACCTCAGATGCTCAGGAGGCGCTGCTTCAGCTGCTCAGATGAATCAAGATGCGTCGCTCCTGCTGCTCGAGACGCGCTGCAGGAACTTTTGATATGCCTTGATGCATGTCCACTCCAAACTTTGCATCAAAGCCAGATGCTTCTGCTGCTCAAAGTGCTTGAAGTGTGAACATAGCATCAGGCCAGGGAAACAGTTCATTCTTAAGCAGAAGAATAAAATAACTCATACAGCCAAAAAGTGGTTACAGGACCATTTTTTGAATTGTATGGACTGGCCAAACCAGGTAGACGTTAATCCGACTGAACATCTTTAGAGAGATCTGAAAACAGCTGAGCACAGATATATCTGATCCAATCTGATCAGAGTTTCAGATGTTCTGTTAAAAAGAATGTGCCAAACTGCCTAAAGATAGCACTGTAGCCTAACCTTCAGTGCCCCCAAAAGATTTTTAAAGGGAACAGAACTCATTCCTGTCATGAAAAGGTGGTTTGTCCTCTTCAGGTTGGAGGAGAGTTTTTGCCTCATGGAAAGGAGTTTAAGTATCTTGGGATTCTGCTCATTATTGAGGGGAGAACAGAGCTGCAGCTGCTTTATTACGGACACTGCACCAGTTTGTTGTGGTGAAGTAAGTGCTAAGCGAAAACACAAAGCTGCGTTCCTATCTTTCCCTATGATCATGAAATCTGGATCATGACTGAAAGAACGAGATCCTTGTTACAAGCGGCTGAAAATAGGTTCCTCCTCAGGGTGGCCGGCCCTCCTTAAGAGTTGGGGTGAGTAGGTCAGTCATTTTGGGGGAGGCTCAGAGTAGAGCTGCTTCTGCTCCACATGGAGAAGGGTCAGCTAAGGTGGCTCAGACAGCTCGGTCGATTGCCCACCTGGGCAGGTATGTCCCACCGACGGAGGCCAAAGGAATGACCTAGGACACACTGGAGAACTATGTCTTTCAGCTGTGCATTCGTTGTCTCAGGCCTCCCCCAGCAGAGCTGGAGGTGGTGTCTGCAGTGAGGGAAGTCTGGGAGTCTCTGCTGAGACCTGCGGTTGAGTTCAAGATGAAAAGTAAGAGTAGGAGAACTCAATTCTTATCAAATGGTTGTTTAGACTATTCTTAAATACATAGTGTGAACTACTGGAAAAAATATCTTTGATAATTTGAAATTTTAATTTGAGTCCTAACAACGTAATTGGCTGACTGACAATAGGTCTGGCCAATCCTGCAACACCATAAGTGCGTTTGATGTTACAATGATGTTGTTTGACCTGCAGGTTGCATGGTGCTTTATGAATCAAATTAATTCTCAGTATAAGACCACAACATTCTTAACTATGTATGTTTTTAAAGTGTAATACTTCATTCATTGCTAAGTTTTACAGTATAGGTAGGTATAACTTGATGTAAGTACCTATTTTTGTGAGGTCTTTGGAGGTAAATGGAAGGATCTTCAGGTTAGCTGGGCTAACCAAGCTCGCACTGGACTTACTCATTGAACCACATTTATTTTGCGGAAGTAACTTTTTTTTAAAAAACCTTATTTTTCATTGTTTTTCTTTTGCAATGAACAAAAAAAAAACAACTGAACATTACAGCCCATAACAAACAAAACAGTCAGAGCATCTAGTATAAACCAAAGGACACTATATCAATAAGAAAACTACAAAAAATACAGACCAGTACAAAACAACTGAGTAAGTGAGAGCGGCAAACATATGGTAGGTGTTAAATTACAATATCTTCTGTTTTAGATAAAGAACCAATTTAGCCCAATATTTCTCGCACTTATCAACAGCCAATCTTAATGAGAAAGTCAGTCTTTCCATAATGCAGATTTTCTTGATAATATCCTTCCAGTCCAGTATTGAAGGAGGATCTGCACATAACCATTTACGGATAATGGCTTTTTTCGCACCTGCCAATAATACTAATAGGAGGTATCTGTCTGTTAGCAGAAGTAACTTTAAAGTTGGTTTTAAGAATTGTTTAAAGTTACTGGATTTAAAAAGAACACATACACATTGGACATAATCAAGAAGAAATGTATACAGGTGCTGGTCATAAAATTAGAATATCATGAAAAAGTAGATTGATTTCAGTAATTCCATTTAAAAAGTGAAACTTGTATATTATATTCATACATTACATACAAACTCATATATTTCAGATGTTTATTTGATTTAATTTTGATGATTACAAATGACAACAAATGAAAATCTCAAATTCATCATATCAGAAAATTAGAATATTACTGAAGACCAATAAAAACAAAGGATTTATAGAAATGTTGGCCAACTGAAAAGTATGAACATGAAAAGTATGAGCATGTACAGCACTCAGTATTTAGTTGGGCCTCCTTTGGCCTGTATTACTGCAGCAATGCGGCGTGGCATGGAGTCGATCAGTCTGTGGCACTGCTCAGGTGTTATGATAGCCCAGGTTGCTCTAATAGTGGCTTTTAGCTCTTCTGAATTGTTGGGTCTGGTGTATTGCATCTTCTTCTTCACAATACCCCATAGATTTTCTATGGGGTTAAGGTCAGGAGAGTTTGCTGGCCAATTAAGAACAGGGATACCATGGTCCTTCAACCAGGTACTGGTAGCTTTGGCACTGTGTGCAGGTGCCAAGTCCTGTTGGAAAATGAAATCTGCATCTCCAAAAAGTTGGTCAGCTGCAGGAAGCATGAAGTGCTCTAAAACTTCCTGGTATGTGGCTGCGTTGACCCTGGACCTCAGAAAACACAATGGACCAACACCAGCAGATGACATGGCACCCCAAACCATCACTGACTGTGGAAACTTTACACTGGACTTCAAGCAACGTGGATGAAGTGCCTCTCTTCTTTTCCTCCAGACTCTGGGACCTTGATTTCCAAAGGAAATGCAAAATTTACTTTCATCAGAGAACATGACTTTGGACCACTCACCAGCAGTCCAGTCCTGTTTCTCTTTAGCCCAAGCAAGACGCTTCTGACGCTGTCTGTGGTTGAAGAGTGGCTTGACACAAGGAATGCGACAGCAGAAACCCATGTCTTTCATACGTCTGTGTGTGGTGGTTCTTGAAGCACTCACTCCAGCTGCAGTCCACTCTTTGTGAATCTCCCCCACATTTTTGAATGGGTTTTGTTTCACAATCCTCTCCAGGGTGCGGTTATCTCTCTTGCTTGTACACTTTTTTCGACCACATCTTTTCCTTCCCTTCGCCTCTCTATTAATGTGCTTGGACACTGAGCTCTGTGAACAGCCAGCCTCTTTAGCGATGACCTTTTGTGTCTTGCCCTCCTTGTGCAAGGTGTCGATGGTCGTCTTTTGGACAACTGTCAAGTCAGCAGTCTTCCCCATGATTGTGTAGCCTATAGAACTAGACTGAAAGACCATTTAAAGGCTTTTGCAGGTGGTTTGAGTTAATTAGCTGATTAGAGTGTGGCACCAGGGGCCATCAATTTTGAACCTTTTCACAATATTCTAATTTTCTGATATGATGAATTTGAGATTTTCATTTGTTGTCATTTGTAATCATCAAAATTAAACCAAATAAACATCTGAAATATATGAGTTTGTATGTAATGTATGAATATAATATACAAGTTTCACTTTTTAAATGGAATTACTGAAATCAATCTACTTTTTCATGATATTCTAATTTTATGACCAGCACCTGTAATCCTTAAGTTGACTTATTGGAAATGGAAAATGAATTACTAAGTTATCTTTTTTTTTTGTCCTTCCTTATATAAAAAAGATGGTTTAGTAAACTCAAATTTTTGGAGGTAATCGGTTTCAACATAAGCTTTTATTTTGGTTAACTTACTCAGGTTTGCAGTGTGCGTCAACCTTGTTGTATCATATTCAAAATGACTCGAGGCTGTAATTGCTCTCAAAGGTCGATCAGGTCATTTCTCTCTGGGATTATTAAAGTATGTCTGATTCTGATTAAGTAAAGGCTGTCAATATTTACATGAATTTTATTTTCTTCCATTTTTTTAATAAATGTGGATCAAATGCAGTGCTGTGACTACTTTATACATACATATAATTTACACTTTTTAATTTTATTTTTTCTTAAAAAAATACACAATTTCCCCCCCATTTCAGTTATCTTTGTCCCATAAAACCCGATAAAATGCCTTAAAGTGACAACAGTGTTGAAAACTTTGAGAAGCATGAAAACATGATGATGTGCACCAGTCTTCGGTGCTCAGAGAAAATCTAACAAATTTATCTTTTTTGTTAAAGGAGTTGGATTCAATATCACAGCCGACTACGAAGGATTCAACACCACTTTTTACACCAAAAGAGGCTGCAGTAGCAGTATATGTGAGGCAGTGGAGAAACTTACCAAGCTTATGGTGAGTCTCTACGAGCATTTCTTTCCCTATCCATTCCTTTTATCAATTTGTATATTTATACATTAGTTATTCTGATTTAGAGCAATGTGGAGGGCTCATAAAGGTCCCATATAATGCAAAATTCATATTGTAGAAATTTTGTAACAGTCATATCTGTCCTAAGATCTAAGAAAAAAACTTAGACCTCTATCATTGCTTTTCACCACTTCTTAGCTAATGTGTCCTGAGAAAAACATCCCCCCTTATGATGTCATTAAGGGAAATAAGCTGTCCAGAGCGGTCTGTAGCATCCCATCGCTCAAGCTACAGCCTTCATCTATTGAATAATTTCATGCCCCTAGCTTATCTTTAAGAACTCCTAACGGTTGTCATGGTTTGCGGGTTGTGGGGATGTGGCCTTCGAGAGGACAGGGTTGTGGAAGGCCAAAACAGGTCATCCAGAGAAAGGCTCCATTAGGAGATATTTGGCCATCTGCCTAATCTGAGAGGAATTTTCTGCAAAAACAGAGAAAACATGTTCATTGTTAAATGCAGCCAAACATGGGACCTTTAAGACCATAATATTATACCTCTGGCTAAATTTCAAATATGATAGTAAACTATTTTTAAATAAGGATAAAGTGAGACTAATTATATGCAAAGCCTTTCAGCATTGATATATCCTGGATATAGTCACAGTGAAAAGTTGTTTGCATTGTCATAGACCTTCCAGCAATTCTTCATACTAATCAGACTAGTAGACTAGGTTTAGAAAGACATGCAGACATAGCTGCCAGGAACAAAAAAAAAAAAAAAAAAAAAAAAAAAAAAAAACACACAAATCAGGACATTTCAGCAATGTTTTGTTTTATGTATTGTCCAGTTGATACAAAAAGGTGCTGCCTTTTTTTTTCATATTAGACACTAGAGATCCAAACCTCGCTGACTATAAATATTTAATTTGATTTTTCCGTTAACGACTTGATTCAGGAATGATTTTTAAATTCAAAATAATCATTTTCTGCATGGGCCATTGTAAATCAAAAGTATGCCCAAACACTAGCTTATAGCGACAACGCTGCAGGTGTGCACTACTTCTTCTTGGGGTAGTGGTGGCCTAGTGGTTAGGACATAGAGCTTGGAACCCTGAGGTTGTGAGTTTGAGCCCCACTCACACAGACTGCCACTCTGGGTCTCTGAGCAAGACCCTTAACCCCCTGATTGCTCCATGGTCGTCCTACGACTGCTACCCTAGGCGATGGGTCAAATGCAGAGGTATATTTCTCGAATGTGAGATCAATAGAGTTCAATTATTATTTTGCCGAAGAGGCTGGCTAATAGGCTAACTACCTTGCGGTAGACTGCGTTCTACGGTGGCAGTGTCCTGCAATACATAGTTTCTTCTCTTGTAGGAGTAGGAAAAACACAGAGCCTAAATGTATTTTTAAATCGATTTTTGAGCATTTTGAATTGATTGACAATTTCCAGGACTAGGAAATGCAATTCTATTAAGAATGGATGTATTTTATTAGCCCTACTGGAGATGTCCACAAATATATTTTTCCAGGTAATGTCCCAAGTCGGCCACTGGGGTGTCAAACTCCAGTCCTTAGGACCCACAACTTTTTGGTCTGTCTGAAGTCCAAAATAGCTCAATTAAGGGATTGAATTACCTCCTGTTCACTCAAGTTCTGCAGTCTTGCTGCTGACTTAGTTATGTTCAGGTCTTTTAATATAGAGAAACATGAAAGTTACAGGATTCTGATGCTTGATGTCAGTATATTAAAACCAGTGCGGCAGAGACTTAAGAGCTGACTTGAAGTTAAAGGTGCTGTACGAGATCTTGGAAAAAGGGTTCCAGCAAGCTATTTTTTGAACATTCACAACCATGCTTCTCCCTTCAGACCACCCCTCGAAACCACGCCTTCAAAACACATGAACACGTATGCGCTGCAGAGCAGCTGAAGCAGCGGGTCGCTGATCTCAGAGCTGGCAGGCGGACAGACAAATGCAGAGCGCTATGATCACTCCTCTGAAACAGTTTAGTAACACCTAAATTAACTTAAAATGAGCCTGTTGCTGTTGAATGGGATTCCAAGTGACAGAGCACCGCAGGTGTACGGGAGTCTGAGCGGCTCCGACAGAAATAACATTTGAAGGCAGGATGGTAATCTAGTTGTACTGACTGCACTGATGATGTTTTCAGGTGGACTTTCTCACTTCAAAATAGATTCAAACTACTTTTTACCCACTTATCACAGCAAATATAGCTGCCATTGTTCCAGGCAAAGAAAGGATAGGGTAGCTCCGGCAAATGCTCATCAGACCCACTTTTCCACTGCGCAGCAAAGATGCTTCAGCCGCGCGCCAGAACTAAACCTGCACAAGCATAAAAAATGAAGCAGCATGCACGTTTTTGCTGCTCTTGGTTCTTTAAGGGGTGAAGGTAACATAACAGTGGCCAGCTTCCAGCCACTGAAACTTGTATATTATATTCATACATTACATACAAACTCATATATTTCAGATGTTTATTTTGTTTAATTTTGATGATTACAAATGACATCAAATGAAAATCTCAAATTCATCATATCAGAAAATTAGAATATTACTGAAGACCAATAAAAACAAAGGATTTATAGAAATGTTGGCCAACTGAAAAGTATGAACATGAAAAGTATGAGCATGTACAGCACTCAGTATTTAGTTGGGCCTCCTTTGGCCTGTATTACTGCAGCAATGCGGCGTGGCATGGAGTCGATCAGTCTGTGGCACTGCTCAGGTGTTATGATAGCCCAGGTTGCTCTAATAGTGGCTTTTAGCTCTTCTGAATTGTTGGGTCTGGTGTATTGCATCTTCTTCTTCACAATACCCCATAGATTTTCTATGGGGTTAAGGTCAGGAGAGTTTGCTGGCCAATTAAGAACAGGGATACCATGGTCCCGGTTGTACTGACTGCACTGATGATGTTTTCAGGTGGACTTTCTCACTTCAAAATAGATTCAAACTACTTTTTACCCACTTATCACAGCAAATATAGCTGCCATTGTTCCAGGCAAAGAAAGGATAGGGTAGCTCCGGCAAATGCTCATCAGACCCACTTTTCCACTGCGCAGCAAAGATGCTTCAGCCGCGCGCCAGAACTAAACCTGCACAAGCATAAAAAATGAAGCAGCATGCACGTTTTTGCTGCTCTTGGTTCTTTAAGGGGTGAAGGTAACATAACAGTGGCCAGCTTCCAGCCACTGAAACTTGTATATTATATTCATACATTACATACAAACTCATATATTTCAGATGTTTATTTTGTTTAATTTTGATGATTACAAATGACATCAAATGAAAATCTCAAATTCATCATATCAGAAAATTAGAATATTACTGAAGACCAATAAAAACAAAGGATTTATAGAAATGTTGGCCAACTGAAAAGTATGAACATGAAAAGTATGAGCATGTACAGCACTCAGTATTTAGTTGGGCCTCCTTTGGCCTGTATTACTGCAGCAATGCGGCGTGGCATGGAGTCGATCAGTCTGTGGCACTGCTCAGGTGTTATGATAGCCCAGGTTGCTCTAATAGTGGCTTTTAGCTCTTCTGAATTGTTGGGTCTGGTGTATTGCATCTTCTTCTTCACAATACCCCATAGATTTTCTATGGGGTTAAGGTCAGGAGAGTTTGCTGGCCAATTAAGAACAGGGATACCATGGTCCCGGTTGTACTGACTGCACTGATGATGTTTTCAGGTGGACTTTCTCACTTCAAAATAGATTCAAACTACTTTTTACCCACTTATCACAGCAAATATAGCTGCCATTGTTCCAGGCAAAGAAAGGATAGGGTAGCTCCGGCAAATGCTCATCAGACCCACTTTTCCACTGCGCAGCAAAGATGCTTCAGCCGCGCGCCAGAACTAAACCTGCACAAGCATAAAAAATGAAGCAGCATGCACGTTTTTGCTGCTCTTGGTTCTTTAAGGGGTGAAGGTAACATAACAGTGGCCAGCTTCCAGCCATGGCGTCCTGCATGAGCATTAGGGGGTCGATTCGTTCATGTGTCAGGGTACGTGCACATGAGTGAGGGACAAGCAGACGACCATGATTGCGTGTCAGGAACCAATCGTGTACAACGGACCGTCTGGTTGGGGTTATTCATTGATTTCTCACTGTAGCACGGAGCATTTATTTTAGTTTCACTTCCAGACCTTCTATTTCACTGCTTGCTAAGCGGCTTTAAGTCACATGATAAAAAATGCACCTTTAAGGAAACAGACTTGAGACTTGAATTGGAGATAGAGACGTTTGTAGGCATCACATCTTTATCTCTAGCATACAGGTGCTGGTCATAAAATTAGAATATCATGAAAAAGTAGATTGATTTCAGTAATTCCATTTAAAAAGTGAAACTTGTATATTATATTCATACATTACATACAAACTCATATATTTCAGATGTTTATTTTGTTTAATTTTGATGATTACAAATGACATCAAATGAAAATCTCAAATTCATCATATCAGAAAATTAGAATATTACTGAAGACCAATAAAAACAAAGGATTTATAGAAATGTTGGCCAACTGAAAAGTATGAACATGAAAAGTATGAGCATGTACAGCACTCAGTATTTAGTTGGGCCTCCTTTGGCCTGTATTACTGCAGCAATGCGGCGTGGCATGGAGTCGATCAGTCTGTGGCACTGCTCAGGTGTTATGATAGCCCAGGTTGCTCTAATAGTGGCTTTTAGCTCTTCTGAATTGTTGGGTCTGGTGTATTGCATCTTCTTCTTCACAATACCCCATAGATTTTCTATGGGGTTAAGGTCAGGAGAGTTTGCTGGCCAATTAAGAACAGGGATACCATGGTCCTTCAACCAGGTACTGGTAGCTTTGGCACTGTGTGCAGGTGCCAAGTCCTGTTGGAAAATGAAATCTGCATCTCCAAAAAGTTGGTCAGCTGCAGGAAGCATGAAGTGCTCTAAAACTTCCTGGTATGTGGCTGCGTTGACCCTGGACCTCAGAAAACACAATGGACCAACACCAGCAGATGACATGGCACCCCAAACCATCACTGACTGTGGAAACTTTACACTGGACTTCAAGCAACGTGGATGAAGTGCCTCTCTTCTTTTCCTCCAGACTCTGGGACCTTGATTTCCAAAGGAAATGCAAAATTTACTTTCATCAGAGAACATGACTTTGGACCACTCACCAGCAGTCCAGTCCTGTTTCTCTTTAGCCCAGGCAAGACGCTTCTGACGCTGTCTGTGGTTCAAGAGTGGCTTGACACAAGGAATGCGACAGCAGAAACCCATGTCTTTCATACGTCTGTGTGTGGTGGTTATTGAAGCACTCACTCCAGCTGCAGTCCACTCTTTGTGAATCTCCCCCACATTTTTGAAGGGGTTTTGTTTCACAATCCTCTCCAGGGTGCGGTTATCTCTCTTGCTTGTACACTTTTTTCGACCACATCTTTTCCTTCCCTTCGCCTCTCTATTAATGTGCTTGGACACTGAGCTATGTGAACAGCCAGCCTCTTTAGCGATGACCTTTTGTGTCTTGCCCTCCTTGTGCAAGGTGTTGATGGTCGTCTTTTGGACAACTGTCAAGTCAGCAGTCTTCCCCATGATTGTGTAGCCTATAGAACTAGACTGAAAGACCATTTAAAGGCTTTTGCAGGTGGTTTGAGTTAATTAGCTGATTAGAGTGTGGCACCAGGGGCCATCAATTTTGAACCTTTTCACAATATTCTAATTTTCTGATATGATGAATTTGAGATTTTCATTTGTTGTCATTTGTAATCATCAAAATTAAACCAAATAAACATCTGAAATATATGAGTTTGTATGTAATGTATGAATATAATATACAAGTTTCACTTTTTAAATGGAATTACTGAAATCAATCTACTTTTTCATGATATTCTAATTTTATGACCAGCACCTGTACAGCATTCTGTGCAGACGAAGATAAAACCTTTCTCCGAATCTGAAGCACATCTAACCCTGCATAGCTGTAGGTCAAGAGGCCAAACCTTTACTTCTTCTCAGGCCTAAATTATGACATCAATATTTGATCATTATCTAAAAATCTATTGACTTTCATTAACATTAATGTCAGTCTTTTAACATTTAATTTAAGATCCAAAAATTTAAGTTAAGCATGCTTTACATTTTTAGAATAAATGTAATATTTACAACATAACAAATATGAATAGGCTAAAACTAATCATTCACTGTGCATGGTTCTAAATCTGGTTTTATTCTCCCTACCCTGACTTTTAAGTTTTAATAATTGTGGGAAACAATTAGGGCAAGTGGAAAGGAAATAGTTTTAATTCCAACATTTGCAACATAAATATTCATTGTGATGTTGCAGCTAATTTAGCAGAGATGTTAAAGGCCAGTAAGTCCATTTTGTTTGGAAAGATCCAAACTCATTAAATACAGTGCCCAGTTGGAGAGAATTTGTTGTAGTCATTATTATGAAACTGCAAATAACATGATGAGGTTATGTCGAGTCATTAAATCCGATCAACAGGTTAATAATCCAACTCATTGTTTTGCAGTAAAACATTCATAGCAGCTGCAGTTTCTTTCGAAAATACCAGCTTCCTTTTAATCTTCTTAACATGAGAGAAAAACTGGTCCTGAAACTCAAGTCACCAATTATAGTCAACTTTCCCAAAGGAATCAGAACCTGATATGTTACTTAAAAAATACTTCTGAAATTGTCTTTAAGTTCATGTTTGATTATTTTTTTAAATTAAATAAAGCTTGTGAATCCATTATACTCCTAATAAAAGAGCGTATTATGAGAAGTAGTAGGCTATTGGTGTTAATACAGAAGGGATAAAATCATACCCTAAGAGCCACTATTGCTGGCGTTTCCTTTTTGAAAAATTTTACATAAATAAAAAAAAAAAAACGACTAGCTACTTTCAATTCAATTCAGTTCAGTTTATTTCTATAGCGCCAATTCACAACACATGTCATCTGAAGGCACTTTACAGTTCACTAGATCATACAGTCAAATTGATTCAAGGTTTTCTATCTAAGGAAAACCAGTTGATTGCATCGACTCATTGACTCAAATGCAATCCCTTACACGAAGCATGCTTGTAGCGACAGTGGAGAGTAAAAACTCCCTTTTAAAAGGAAGAAACCTCCAGCAGAACAAGGCTCAGTTTTCACACTCTGAATTTTACTTTTGTTACTGTGACCAGACAGTCCACATTTTGGACCACCTGTCCCCAGAAATGTCCCCGATTTGACTGTTTTTATGAATGAGGGGGGAAATGTTGCGTATAGACTGTTATTACGGTAAAAAGAGTGCATGAGCATGCTGCACACAGAAACAGCTCTTAGCTAGCTGATTGGCAGCTGTTAACGTATAGATGAGGAGCAGAGTGAACCAGTTTTAAAACAGACGAGGAAGTTTGTTATTAGAACGGGTCGGAGCTGCCCTGTGTTATGGTGAGTGTGTTAATCTTTTCAGTTGATTTGAATTGGGCTGATCATTGTGATGTTTGGTTCACGTCCAAGTTAATAAAAAAAAGGGCTTGGATGTGTTTTGTTTTACTAAAGTTGAGGACCGGAAATGAAACATAAAGCGAGCTAATCAATAAAAAGTAAGACAGACCATTGGCTGCTTCTGGCATTAGTTAATAGACTCAGATGAAACTAAACAGTATGATTGAAAACTCCTTGTAAGGCGATAATCTGGTTTGGTGGTTCTCCAAGGATCAACAAGGGTTAAACTAAAGATGTTTTTACAACTGATAGGTGACGTTTAGTTTATATCATCAGATAGTTAGTTATTTTATGTAGAGTTATGAGATGTTTTGCTGCTTTTTTACACTTGATTTTTGTTGTTTAAATATTAATAAATATGTAAAAATGGATGAAAGCATCACTGTCCCAGTTTCCTATTTTAATTTTCATGACAAGTATGTATTTTCATCTATGAGCTGGAAATGTCTCTATATTAGATTGCAGAAATCTGGTCACCTTAACTTTTGTTCTTTTCTCCAGATTACAGGTAAACTTGGCTGCGCTGTACTCGGACCTACCTGCACCTTTGCAACATTCCCCTTAGTTGAGTAAGTGACATTCTTCACAAGGGCCAATTCACGTTTGGTTTCTTGAGATGTTAAAATTTCACACCAGGAAGTTTAATGCCCATTTTTCTACCCTCTGTCTTGTCAGTGCAGAAAAAGGCTTTAACCTGAGCACACCCATCATCTCGGCGGGAAGCTTTGGTCGCTCCTGTGACTCTACCCTCAACCTGCAGCGGGTTCTGCCTCCAGCGCGGAAGATCTCAGACTTTTTCATCAACTTCTGGCTGGAAAACAATAGCATAAAACCCGAGTGGAAGACAGCCTATGTCTACAAAAAGGCCAACAACACTGAGGACTGCTTTTGGTCAGTGACACATTAAGAATGAACTCAGAGGTATAACTTACAATTTAGTAGAATTGATGAATCAAATTGTTGAGTTAATTCACCATGAGCCACTTATTTGGTTCTGCAGAAGCATGATAATGAAGTAATAAGGTGTGTTGGAGAAGAGATACATCTAAAGGTTGTAAGATAGTAGCTTTCAGGTCTAAAATTTTTACCTCGTAAAGCACTTTATTACCTAACCCTTCAACAAGGACTCTATTTTCTGTCCATGAACCATTCTTGTCAATAAGGTAATTCACACCAACAGTGCTGCATGACAGGAACAGAGTCCCTACTCTATCATGCTACCTGTTTATTCGCAGTTTCCATGGTTCCTGCTATGATTTCTGAATATATATGTTATGTTCTGGCTGCTGGTTTGTTCACATGCTTCTCCTCTGTAAATCAGAGAAAATACTGGAATAAGATTGGCTTGCATTTATCTTCTCTATTGGATCCTGATGTGGCACATCTTCAGCAGCAGCTGCTTTCCTGTTGGCTGATCAGTAGACATGGGTTGTTGGAGCTCTCACGCTCACACCGTCATTCTACATATCAGACACTGTCTGATAATCATTGCAGGTTATCTATGGTTGCAAAAACTTCCATCCTAAAACCCGCCTAACAGTGCAAAGTAAGTCTGATATACTAGAGCTCATTAAGGGGGCCTTAGAGACCAAAAAAATCAAAACCTGCATCCTAATTTTTCCATAATTTTATCATGTGGTAGCGGTTAATGCCACCTTTTAGTGACTCTTGGCCTGCAGGAGGACTCACCGTTTTTGATAATTATGGTCTCAGACCAAGGAGCCTCTTCTCTCTTTGCTCTAGGCGGCACCAGTGCATTGCAAAGGTCATGATTTGAATATATCATATCAAAAATATCATTAGCTTTAAGTCATTTATTTATTTTTAAATACTCTTTTACACAAAAAAAAACAAAACAATAATTGGACCACAAGTAGTAAGGCTATTGGAAAACCAATTCCAAATTCTGATTAGTCCCATTGCATCCACTGGTTTACCAAAGACAGTTCTGCAATACTTTAACTAGCATGGACCATGTCACGTCAATTAGAAGCTTGACTGAATGCGCAGGTCTGAAGATGTTTAAGACAGGACGTATCATGTATATTGTATTACGATACATACAAGAAGAGGAGCCCCTGAGTGGTGGTATGGTTTCATAGATCCCACTTTTCCAGAGCCAGCTAAGAACCTCATGGATACAGCATAAAACAAAAATGAGAAGGGAAGGATTAATGCTTGCAGCAAGGAAGTCGAACAAGAAGAGGGCTATGAGATAAAAGAGGAACAGAGGATGGATGAAATGAAGGGAGGAAGGTGTCAAAAGAAGAACACAAAGTAAGGTTGTTAAAAAGTTAAAAAGCTGGGTGGTGAGAGGTGTGACCGAGGGGTGGTCCTGCTCAGATTCAACAAGAAACCACTGTTACACCTTTTTTATTGTCATCTGCTTCTTTAGGTATATCAACGCACTGGAAGCCGATGGCAAGTTCTCAGCAGAGGTTTCAATAACGATGCTACGCAAACCTGACGAAGTGAAAGAAATACTCAAGCCACAGGAGAACAGGACGAGCAATTGTAAGTCGATTTCTGGGTCATGAAGGTGAAACTCTTACCCTCAGATGGAGAGCTGATGGTCAACCAAGGCATAATTGGACAACATTTATCAATATGAAAAAGAAAGTACTAAGCAAAAAAAAAGATACACTTAAAGTATTTACTATTTCTGCACTTAGTTCCAGACTCAATGTATCACTCTAGCAATTATCTGTTAGCCCTTATTTAGCTATTAAGAAATCACATTAGCCTGCTAGAGGTCTTGGTGCTGCCAATAAACTGTCAATGCACAATCAACAGGTTTATGGATTGTACTGAATTATTTCTCATGATAGAGTGTACCAAAATTGTAGTATTGTAGGTAAATTTTAAACCAGAATTGCATCATTCCTACATGCATATTTTAATATACACCAGTAAAAGAATCAAATCTCTGTGTATGTGCAATTTATGTGAATATTTTCAATCTCTGTAAATTTAATGGGTTAAGTCAAGGTGATTTTAACCTTCTAAATAAGTTTTTGGAAGGTTAAAATCATACATAAGTTTTATTAACACAAGAAATAGAGTTTTTGTTGTTTGTTTCTTTTCTTTTTTTTTTACACCGGGCACAAATAACATAAGATTCTCTGTTTTAAGAGGTTTGGTTTAAGGTTAATTTTCAATTTTGAAAGAAAATCAGGGTCAGGCTCACCACCCTCCGTTTTTACTTTACAGTTACATTTTAACAGAAACATTTTCTTTGTTTGCAGTGATCATCATGTGTGGCTCAGTGCAGGACTTACTGGAGTTGAAAAACGGCTCCAAAGCAGCAGACAGCAGTGATTTCCTCTTTATGCTCATTGATCTCTACAAGTCAGTACTCTTTTTAGATCTTCAATTTTTATTTCATTTTTTTGTCTTATCCATTCATTTCTTCTGTATTTATAACACTGCTTACCAGTAAAATAAGCTAGAGCATTTTAGATCACCTAGTAAAGTGCAAACATAATAAAACATAAAAAATAAACAGAAAAGCTGATACTAGGAAGTCCTAATCTAGATTTCTTAACACCAATCAGAATCACTTTAGAAAAGGCCTTTACCAATAAAGAGTCCTAAATCAATTCTGTGTGCAATAAAATATCACGCTATCTCCCATCAGTGCTTTATGGTCCAAAGTGTTACTGTGTTTGTAAAAACTTTTCCCTCTCTAATGGTGCCTTCAGGACAGCATTGACATGCAGATCTAATGCAAGGTAAAAGTTAAAGGAAAAGGGAAAAAAAAGTTAAAGGAAGACTAGACCCCAATGTTATTAAAATATAGAGCTTTGTAATAAAAGAAAGATGGCCGATCATCTTAGCATGGCCTTAATTAAGACCCAAACATCCCTACAGGGAGTTGCCACAGAGCACAGCACTGCAGACTAGTAAGTTCAAAAAGAGAACCTTACCCTCAGTTATGTTCTGCATCACTGCAAGCACAATGCGCCATCAGGCCCCGTGTCTTTAGTAATGGGTAACCTTTCATGTATTCTGATTACTGTTATTTAAAGAGTCTTTATTGGACCGCTAGGTTGATGCCTACAACCTTCACTAGCTGAGAAGATCACTGATATCTAATAAATAGTAATTTTTTGTGTTTTTTATTGCCTTCAGTGGCTCATGACTCTCTGCTCAATGCTCTTTTTGTTCCTCTTTTGGCTTTTATTTGTATTTTCATCCTTTGAAGCATTAATCCAGTACAGAAATGCTTAACTGCTGGATCTGGAAAAGTAGCATGGACTTTAGGAACTCCCAGAAATAGATTTTATCCTACCCAAACTACAGCTGTTCACAGAGGCTCTTAGCTAGCATTCCAGCAGCATACAAGGCGGCAGCATCTAGAATGTCAGATTGCTCCTCTGTGAACCAGAGTCCTGCCTACAAACCTCTGATCTGCAAAACAAAACCCTTCATAAGAACCATCCAAGTCTGAATTTAGCACACAGACAGATTGGTGTTGTAAGAGGATCTTAATCTGGAAGATTAGACATCATCTTTAATATTCTATATTCACCTCTGCACTGATGCTGTCATACCAATCAAGATCAATCTGGCTTTTTCCTAACCAGAAGCAAAGAGCTTGCTAAAAGCCCTGGACTAAGCACGTAGATAAGAAGACATACAGTCAGTATACCAGAGCCCAGAGAGAATAGAAAAAAGCAGGGTTGTCAACTCTCACCTATTGGGAGTGAGACTCACCCATCTCACTGTCTTCACATGCTCTCACTCCATATTCCATATTTCTCGCACTAAAAAATGACAGACATTAAAACTCAACTCTGTTCCACTTATTTATGTATAAAAATACCATGCTCATCAAAATCCAGTCTGCGTTTTTAATACAACCTTAGTGCTAACACATAAGGACCATGTTTTGTTTCAAGTTAAATAATTATTGCTCAGTCTAGTTAAATAACCTCCCATTGGCATTTAGGAGTAATTAAACCAACTCAAATATTTTAATTCTTAAAGCTTTCAGGTTTGCCTCTCAAACCCATAGGAGCTCCACAAAAAGAAAAAGAACCATTGCATTTTTTTTTTTTTTTATTTCAGCCCCCCAAGAAAAGATTAACCACATCCAGAGAGGATGTGCATAATAGTTGAGTTATCTTGGATTCATAGAGGAGAAACCACAGGAATGTTTTTCTTTTATTATTACTGATCTTATTCATTTATCTTTATTTTGGTCCATTGAATTTGTTTAAAAACTTAATTTCCATCACACTTTTCAAATTGAACATCCAGAGAAGTGCCGTCTCCTGTCACGGTGAGTTTTTATAAAATCTACAGGCTCCTAGAAGGTCTGAATTGTTTAGCCGTTTTGTCAATTGTAAGATTGATTGTAAATAATAACCTTTGCCTATTACCAAATTCGATTGCACTGGCTCCTGTATCAGTGCCAGTAATGCAGTAATAGCTTATTAGTTCCCCCTTGTTTAATTTACTTGAACTTAAAAAGAAAGAATAATTAATGAGCAAAGTTGTGAAATTCTTAGTTTAAAGTATATTTAAGATGCAAGTATTTTAGTAGGGCCCATTCTGCTTTACTTCAATTCTCTAAAACTCACCAGAATGTAGAAAAAATAATGTATATTGTGAGAAAAATGTTAGACATAACTACAGACCACTTATTGTTCTTCAGTAACCTTTACTGTGCTATAAAAATTCCACACTTTTTTCAGTTGAATCCTCTGAAAACCTACAACCTATATTTGCATCTATCCTCATCTAACCCTGACAGGATTTCCTGTCCAAACTATTTCAAAATCTCACTCCAAGTGTTTGGTGAAAAGTTGGCAGCCCTGAAAAAGGCATCAGGCAGGCAAAACACAGGTACAAGCAGAGCACAGAGGATCACCACAACAACCCACTTAAAATTTGGATCATCGTGAATTATAGGCGCCGTGTTTAGCAGCATGTTTTGACTCTCCAAGCAGTAAAAAGTTAGTTATCAGCCTCCCTGCAGCTGCAGCAAGATCAACATCAACTCTGCTGCAGGTCCAGCCATGCATTCAGGTCGGACTCTAAAGTCATGTGCTGACTGCAGTGACCCAGTGAATGCATTGTTTGTCTCACGTCCATTAAGAATCTGTATTAAATCTTTAGCAAGCTGTGAAGGAAATTGCCCTCTTGGTGAACATTCCCATCCCCTTGCCTCACACACACACCCTTCCTCTGACACAAACAAACAAGAACTCCCAAACAAACACACCCACCGTCAATCACACAGACCATCAGACGGTTTATTAATGTCGGATTAAACGATATAAATAAATATAAATCTATATAGTAATCGATTAATTGTTAACTGGATTAAAGAGACTCTAAAACAGTCTCCAGCTTAAGGAGTGGTCCACTTAGAGCATCAATTATACCAAAATTGTAATTAAAAAAGATACACAAATATTTTGCATTTAATTAAAAAATAAAGTTTTTCATCTGTCAATATACTCTTTCCAGAAGTTTTAGTTTCTTGTTTAATTCAGTAAAATAGATAAACCACTATTAAAATAGCTAGTTTTTATGCATTTACTTCATCATATGCTTCATAGAATCTGAAACGTTGATGAATTTGAAGGACTTTCCTGTTATACTAATTTTAAATTAAAAAGTTAATTTATTTATCTATTATAAAATGCTTTTTAGACTTAGATAAACTTTATTGTAATTTTGTATACACAGCGTGTATACAAAACTAAATTAGGTTATTTCCAGCTCACAACAGTAAAATGAACATTACCATTTATATGAAGTGCAGCAGTGATCATCATGTAAAAAGTATAGGAGAAAAAGGAAAACCTGTTTAAAAAGTAACGGTGCAAAATGGCATTAAGGTTCAGTGCTGTGCAAAATAAGTATGGTGCAGGTTTTTTATTTTTTCCTCAGTTTTTGATACTAATTGATTGATACATTTGTGAATTGATCAATGAATTAATATGATTGAATAGTGTTCTGTAAAAGCTTTACTTCGGATTACAGACCCTCAATAATAATGAGAACACTAAAAACAGTTCAGATATCACCCTGTGGCAACATATGTTAGGTAAATTTAAAAGTTTGTATTTGTTGCTGTTAATGAATAGAACAATGGTTAACACGTATCTAGACCAGTACATCATCTTTATTGGTTGAGTATACCATCTGTTTGTCTTCCTTTGTGCAGTGATGTATACTACACCAACCCGTCATCGCTACCTGAGATGAAGAACGTGTTGGTGTTGACCATGCCCAACACCCGGGAGTACGTCATCAACTCAGACTTTAGAGGCAACAAAACAGTAAGGAAACACACAACTTTAGTCAGTTCATAAGAGTCAGATAAAAAAAAATAATAATAATTTTAATGGTGCATAAAGAGCGGAAGTAGTTGAACTAGTTTTTCTTTCACAGTTTGTAAAATAACTCCAGAAGCTACTATGTTTCAATTGATTTTAATTTGTTGTGTTTGACTCTGATCTTTCAATAAAAAAAAAATAAACATCACAGAAACATTTACCGACCTTTCTGAGCAATACTTCTAACAGTTTGTGCCTCCAGTGATGTGACGCTCTCTCTCTACAGATGAATGACTACATGGCAGCGTACCATGACTCAGTGCTGTATATAGGGCAAGTAATGAGAGAGATCTTCGCCAAAAATCAGTCTGATCTACACGGAATGGACTATGTGAATGTGAATTACTTCAGAAACACCTCGTTTAAGGGTAAAGATGAAGCCTAAATGTCTTTTTTTTGTCAAAATTATTATTTTTTTTTTTTTTACTGAAATTGCATGTTTGTAGATGTTTTATGTGGTAGTTTTAGGTTCATTAAGTGAAAGACTGATTCAATTCAATTAATTTTATTTATATAGCACCATTTCACAACACAGGTCATCCCAAGGCACTTTACAGTTCAACCAGATCATGTAGTCAAATTGATTCAAAGTTTTCTATCTAAGGAAAACCAGTTGATTGCATCGACTCATTGACTCAAATACAATCCCTCACAAAAAAAACATGCTTGAGGTGACAGTGGAGAGGAAGAACTCCATTTTAACAGGAAGAAACCTCCAGCAGAACCAGGCTCACTGTGAGCGGCCATCTGCCGAGGCCGACTGGGGTTCTGATGCACTCTGGGTGAACAAGTGGATCCCTCCTTCAAGCTGCTGTTAGATTTTATAATCTTAGATGCATCTAACATGCCAAATGAGTGTTTTCAACCATCTGTCATTTGCAGTTATTTTATCTGACCAAGAGCATTTTTCTCCGTATACATTCCATTATCTGAGCAGTTTCTAGTACGGTCCATGTTTTTCTTCTACATCAATACCGTGCACAGATGTTAATGAATATTTTGAACATTATGTTTCTGCATTTGCTCTGAATGTCATTTTCTACATTTCTTCCATTTTTTTTACTTAAAAATGTCATTTCATTTTGTTCTCTCTCATATTATTAATATTTTATTGTACCTGTATTCTGTCATTTGTCACAGACACCCCATGATTTCCAAGCTGTGAGACAATGAAGGGGATTTCTATGCTAGTTTATTCTATTCTATTCTAATCTATTCTGTTCTATTCTAATCTATCAATCTTCTATTGCACTATTTATTAGACTTATTGTTTTAAATATTTAATTCCCCTTTGGGATTAATAAAGATTTTTTTTATTGAACTGAACTAAATTAATTTCTGCTAAATTAATTTCTGCTATGGTGAGATGAGTTGTTGGAGGATGTGAGTGGCACCAGCAACTGTGATTGTCAGCTGTGAAGGAGAAACTGTGCGTTCCTCACCTCAACCTCGTGTGTTTTCTTTTCCTGCTTAGGACTTGCAGGAAATTACAAGCTGGACATACAAGGAGACAGAGATACAAACTTTTCAATCCTTTATACAACAACCAGCAATGAGGTGATGTTATTTTTTTTTTATAGTTATTTGTTCCACAGCTAATCTAGCCTAAAAACAATGAAAATTAATTCAAGCTGCACTAAAAGCTCAAACTAATATTAAATTTCTGCAGATCTGTAAACTCTATGTGTTGATTGTTTATCTGATCATATCTCATCCGCAGTACAAGCTCTTATTCACCTTCGACACTGAGTTCAACAAAACAAAAGTGGTGGACAAGAATCCGGCCTTCGTCTGGGGGAAGAAGCTTCCACAGTACAAACCAAACTGTAATCATTAACTACTCATCAGCACACACACACCTGTTTTGTGTCACTATCAATTGAAGTAACAACCGGAGATGCTATTATGTGGCATTAAAAAGATAAGATGAGGAATTTTGCAAACATTCACAATCTCTAAAGGAAGCGGGAAAGCTTCCAGAAAAGGAGATTTAATCGTCACAATATTTTGAATTCAGTAAATAAATTTTCCAGCTGATAACATTTTATCGAAAGCTCAAAATAATCTCATTTGTTAGTCAACTGTATTTTATGAAATCTTACTTTCTCATTTTAGCAGCTTTAAAAAAACTGCAAGGATAGAGATTTACCACCAAAATCAGCCCAGGTAGCGAGGTATTACTCCTGAACCCTGAACCTTAGGAGAGCAGCCTTTGTGATGAGGAGAGGCAACAAGCAGTTGAGAGGAAATTTGCCCCCTTTATACATTTGTCCAGATTCCTAGAAAGGAAGAGATGCATGGATGCCGTCTCTCAGAATCAGACCATGGCTTCCCCAAATAGAATGCCAGTTATCAATGCAGCCCATATCCTTTTCTGGGCAACCAGCGGTTGAATGAAGATATGCGAGTAAATATGTCATCAATGGTCATATCCTATAGTGGGCCAGAGAACAACACAGTCCAACATTATTTTGGAAAACTTACACACTGAAGCAATATTAGTTTTAGTGACCTCCGATCAGTGTGAATAATAATCGACTTAATCATATTTAGTTACTTTAACATAACTTTTACATGTTAGCTGGGTAGGACACAAAACAATCGTCTTAAAGTAGCTAAATATGATTAAGTAATTGCCAAAAGTGGTTGCATAGTTTTTTCAGTGTAGGATTTGACGTTGTCCGTTCTGGCCCCCATTAAAGATTTGAATATCATCCCTGATGTCTCTAATGGCACTTTTCTGACTATGGGGCTACTAATTACCAGAATGGGCTTCTCCGTAAGCGGGGAAAATGGGTTAGAAATGTAGATGTGTTGGTGGTGACCAGTTGGCAGAGATCCAGGCTGCGCTTTATGGCTACCGTCACCCAGTCGCTTGGCTGCTGAGGAACTGTCGGAGGACCAGTATGTGGCTGTGTCCCTGGTCTTCGATGGCTCTGGTTTATTAACTAGTGGGCCTGGTCTAATTCCTGGATGTTTAACATCCAGGAATCCAAAGCCGGGACTCTAACTCCAGGGCCGTTTCTCAATATGCGTTCTTGAGCCTCCTTGTGTACTTGTGATACGTCATCAGCCTCAGCTCCGAGGGTAACAGGAGCCAGGGCTAACCACAGCCCGTCTGCAGCAGCCCTCTCTCAGCATAGCCGTGTGTGAAGGACCACTGGTTCTGATGGAGATTTTTTTGTTTTATTTGGCAAAATTTTCATTTTATTTGTGTTCATCTCACTGTGTCCATCATTATTCCCCCACTAAATAAAAAAAGTAATAATTTATTATTATCTAGAGGAGCTCTAGGAGAGCCGAGCGTGTGGTGACGTCATGAGTACGCTTCTGTTCCTATTGACCCATATCTATGCTGCGGGCTCGCGTTCTCACCAAGTCCATACTTTCCTGTGTTCTTGCCAAGACTGGACTTGATGAGAACACGAGTATGGACTCGCGTTCTAGTGAACTGAGAAACGGCCTAGGTCTTTGACACCTCCAAAGTTACAGAAATACACATATTACGAATACCATTGTATCTAAATGAGACAGAGGAATAACTGAACATCTGACAAAGAGAGTAGGAGAGAGGAGAGGGTAGTATAGAAAGAGTTGGAAAAGAGTCAGGGGACACAGAGAGAAGCCATAGCATTGCTAAGCTAGCATTAGCCTAGGCTAGCTACCAGAGAAAAAAAAAGTGTGAATGTGACAGGTGCCCAGTAGAAAAGTGCAGCAGTGAAGCTGTTCTTAAAAGTGCTTCTGGCCACTCCTAATTGCATGTGAATCTGTTTCTGTGCACTCATGTCATCTTTTGTCACTTTTTTGCAATTTGTTTGTAAATCTTGCCCTCACTGTGTACTTCCAAGTTGCGGCTTGTAACATTGGCAAAGCATCTTCAGGCTAATCGCTGTTTTCTTGAAGAGTAGAATGATGACTTCAACAGCCGTCTCTGTCATGAACTTAAATAAAAAGCTACACATAAAAAATATTTAAAAGTAGCTGCAAACTTATTTCTAATAAGCACGTTTTTAACTATAAATAACTCCTCAGTATAAACAGCAGAGCTAACGTTAGCTTAGCTCATACAGGGTTCGAAATTTAACATTAAACATGTCTGTGCATCAATACTGGCAGAATTTAAGGCCGAGATCAGTTAGAGAGACCTATGTAAAGTTACTGATCTGATAGAGCCTTTCTAATTACGGTTTAGTTTACACCAGGGTTTCCAAGGATTTTCTGCACTATTTTAGAAATAGTTTAATGACAGATAGGAAATATTCAGGTGACCCCTCACATTCTTCATTTCCCCAGAGGTTTGTCTCTGCTATCTCTGCCACAGGTAGAAACTCTGAACTGATTGCTTGTTTCCTCTCTTGGCAGTGACAGGTGTTGCTATTTCTGACATCCTTGTGGGCGTGCTGACTGTCACAGTGGTGGTTGTGGCCACCATAGCATTGATTTTTTACAGGTGAGTGATTGCGCAGTTTGGGGCAGATCTTCAGAGGTTTTGCGTGTCTAAACACACATTCGCCCTGGTCGAATTCATGCGCTGCGTCCTCAGGAGGCCAGATTCGAAGGACGATTACGTCATAGTGCAGTGCCAAGGTCTGGTCGGATTCCAAGACTCCTCGTTATGCGGCCTTAAAATGCGTCCTTCTTTTAGCCCGATTTGAAGGACGGGTCCAATGTATCCTCGGTTTACCCAGGATTCATTACAAGACCAAGCCCACAATGGGCAAATTTACAGCAGCAGAAAGATTATTGAAAATGGTCACACAAATGTGGACCTTAGAAAAATGTATAAGAATAACATAAAAGGGAAGTTAAAATATAAACAATAAAATACTGTAAAGTGTTTTAACAATATAAAACTGTACACCTGGAGAATAAATAACCGTCCTATGTGCTCGTCCAGAGTTAGCTATCTTTTTCTGCACATTCGCAGTTTCAGGCATATATGTGTGGTGAGCTACGGTTTCAGACGGTCATTGAAGCTCGCCTTACTCATCGCGGTTCTTTGAAAATGGCTGATTGTCGTAAGATAAAAGGTGTCTGCGTAGTGCATGAGAAGAAAAGAAAGGCCTGAGAAGAGGCGGATATATCCCGGAATGCTCTGTGCAGAGAATTCTCCTTTTAACATTAAAAAGACCGGCCCATTAAAAGACTTTTAACATTTAAAAAATTTTGAAAAGTCCTCCACTACACCTTTAATATTTGCCCAGCTACATTTGTAGATCACCCACATTGCGTGTACTTATTGCACATACTAAAAAAGTTTCAAGGGCCATTAGCTCCTCTTATTCTGAATCTCTGAAGATCAAGCCCTAATTTATTATGGTTAAGACAGCTGACTGTCACAAACGCATTTTTAGACTCACCTCGTGAAGTTAAGTATCTCAGTCTGATCATTGTTGATTCATTTATTGATAATATTACATTTATGTAATGATTTATAACATGATCAAAATAAAGTACTAGCTAATTATTTTGTAAACAAAAGGATAGGATTCCTATAGGGCAGATTTTCACCTTCTTGGTTCTGTTTGTTTTTTTTTAGACAGAATAGGAAAGATCGGCTCCTCAGGAAGCGTTGGTGCCACATTAACTCTGACCTCATCTCTCTGCTAGAGGACAGCCAACACAACATCATTTCATTAAAGGTGAACAAAAGGAGCTGCAAAAGATTAGAATACAAAAACTAGTTCAGTTCTGAATCAGTATTTCTTTTCTATTAATTTGAGTTTTGTATATAAAAAGACAAAACATAATGTATATTTTTATATTTACTATACAATGGTCTTTGCATTTATTGGCCTCACGGTTAATAATGTGTTGGAGCATAATTGTGACGGGGTCGTTTGTTCACCGAGGCTCAGTCATGTTACAGATGTCGTTGCTTTATTTGCTACATTTTCCCATCTTGTGCTCCCGGCAGCGCAAAATGGATTCCAAGGCCAAACTATATACATATTTATACATAGAAGTAAAACAAACCAAACATTTTGAGTGTCTGTAACTAAATCCTCTGAGCCAGAGCCTCCCTCCAGTTGCCAGCATGCAACAAATGGCCGCCTACATTCTAACAGGCCTCCATAAATAGACTAAGCCCCTCCCCTCAGGCTCAGTTAACCCTCATTTTCACATATAAATTAATTTAAACAGAATAGCATTACTCCACATAAGCAAAATAAGATAGAAAAACGCATTATATATTTTAATTATTTTCCACAAATTTATCAGCAAATCTGAAAGAGATTATTGATGACAGGAGAAAAAAACATGTAATTCCTAAACAACTGACTGGCGATGGATAAAGCTGAATGGTTTCTTGATTATCCAGACATGCCACTCTTTCTGCAGACCTGTAGTAAATTTCTGCAGATCTCAAATACATCTTTTTACCTTTTTGCAAGGTAGATAAATCAGCTTTGTTCATTTAAATGTTATAATCCTCCCCCTGGCTGGAGGGAGGATTATAACAGGCAATTATAATTTAAAGCTCCAAGATGCTCAAATTGATTTTCAAAAATAAAATAGAAAAAAATGCTTTGCTTTGCATTTATTTTAAGAGTAAAGCAATGAGTATACCTTGGAATATAATGTGATGTTCTGAATATTTTCCTGTGTGGATGAAAGTTCTCAGTGTGTTACTTTGCTATTTTAAATATGAACTTATATTTTACCACCAAGGGGAGCAGTTTGGGGGACTCTTATGGAAATAATTGTTTTAATTGTTTTTTAGATAGAGGATGAAAGGAAGAAGGTAAAATTCCAGATCCGCCGTGCCCTCTATGACAAAAAGGTAGTTGAAAGGAAAAAGTTCCTGTGTCAGTTTTTTAAGAGCCAACCTATTTTCCTTAAACACATGCAGATAAGTGAGAGTAAAAGTTCTGCTCTGATTCTTCTCAGATTGTGATCCTAAAGGAGCTGAAAAACTCAGATGGAAACTTCAACAAAACCCAGACAATGGAGCTCAATGCGGTGAGACGACGGCCCAGCAGGACCTGGTTCTTTGCTCTTTTATTGGTTTTGCATCTCAATGTGCTCCGTGGCCTTTCCAGATTTTTATGGCCGCTTTGTTAATATTTGTTGAAGCTCACCAGCATGTTGTTACCTTTTCCTGGCAGCTTCTGAACATCGACTATTACAACCTGACCAAGTTTTATGGCACGGTCAGGTTTGATGAGGGTGTGTTCGGCGTGTTTGAGTACGGAGAGAGGGGGTCGCTCAGGGTATGTAAGGCACAACCACATCCAGTCACTGCCTTCAAGGCTGAGTGCTCATAGTTTTGTAATTTAAAAACATGTCTGTTTTACTGTTTTGTTCTAGTATGTGCTGAATGACAAGATTTCATACCCAGAAGACACCTTCATGGACTGGGAGTTCAAAATCTCTGTCATGTATGACATTGCAAAGGTGGGACTTGGCTCTACAGATTATAACACCTAACACAACAAATACTGGAAATTATTTATGCTCAGCTGGGGGACTGAGACCATGCATCTTGCTGCCCTGCAGATGAAAGACAAGGCTTGCGTCATAAAGGGGCGATATAAGAGGTTTAATCAATAACAGAAACTAGAAACAGCATCAGGAATGTGACGTTCTGAACTAGACTCTCACTTTGTTTTATTGGGATGTTTCGTGACAAAGCAACTCTTAACTATAAAGTGGAAAGAAAAAGAACATTGCATCTTAAATTTTATTTCTGGCAACAAAAATCTCAAATCTGTGACCATTTTATCTACCTCTGATTGGAGAAGAGGCTGAGAGGTTATTGTCAACTCTTAAAGAAGCTACAGAGTTCTTAGTGAAGGAGAGGAAAAAAGTGTAGAAGCAAAAGTTTTCCACAAACTACATGGGACAACACAGCAGTCATCTGGAAGAGGGTCTGCAAAATGAGATCATGAATAACTCTTAAGGCCTACATGCAAAGCATCATGGGTAAACCCTGCACGCATTATCCCCAATTAGAAACATGGTGGTTGTAGCATCATGCTGTGGGGATGTCTTTTATCAATTAACATGATAAACCAAAAAAGATCTGTAGCTCGAACACCCGGTTCTATAAAGTATTTGTAGAACCAGTTCATTTGTAAAAAAAAAAAAATAATAATAATTAAAATAGAATTATTATAATTAAAAAGGGAACTGTATGTCATTTCCTTACCAAGTCAAAACTACTATACAGTTGCAAACCTCTGTATGGCAAATAACCATAAAGTTATTTGGATTTTTGCCAGCAGCTGTTCCTCTATAACATTCCTAACCATTTCATCCAGAAAACATAAATCTAATGACCCAGATCTCTTCAAAATAAAAGTCCACATCATTTAAACATAGCTTTAAATACTTATTATTATAAATAATTTCCTCCTAAATATTAATCAGGGCCTACATTTGAAGCATTAAATCACATGAGCTGCAAAATTATAAATTAAATGATTCAAGATCGAGTTAAAGGAGCTGCTGCAATTTCCTCTGTCTACCACTAGATGTCATCAAATATTACAAATATCTCTGTCTTTTTAATTCAGTGAAAATCTCATTACCTGTTCCTCTGGAGAAGGTATCAAGTGCCTGACTTCTGTTTGCAGGGCATGTCCTATCTTCACGCCAGCACCATCCAGGTGCATGGGCGCCTCAAGTCCACCAACTGTGTGGTGGACAATCGCATGGTGGTCAAGATCACAGACTTCGGCTGTAATGCCTTCCTCAGCAGCAGCAAAGGTAAAGCGTCCCCCTACTTATGACCATCCTGGTTGCTTCTTTCTGTCATTCCTCTGCACTTGTGCTGTTCCAGATCTGTGGACGGCTCCAGAGCACCTGAGGGACCAGGGCACTTCACAGAAAGGAGACGTCTACAGCTTTGCCATCATCTCCCAGGAGATTGTTCTGAGGAAGTCCACCTTCTACACCAAGTCCTGCTCCAACCGTTCAGGTTCACACCTGGCCAAAATGTTTTCCTTCTGTAGTCAGCGGTTATGATACTGACGTGAACTGTCTCAGAGTGATGCTTGTCCTGAATGAAGGTGTCTCCTTGCAGAGAAGTTGTCCAGGGTGATGACGTCTTACTTCAGACCTGACCTGGACGTTGAGACGGCTTCAGAGAAAGAACTGGAGGTTAGTTTTTATTAACCATTTTTGCACTACCTTCATTATACAGTGCTTTCACTCACTGATGGATAGTTGTTTTTTTTTTTAAAGCTCATGTCATCTCCATCCCTCAGGTGTACATGATGATAAAAAACTGCTGGGATGAGGATCCGGAAAAAAGACCAGACTTTAAGAAAGTGGAGAACTGCTTAGGAAAACACATCAGGTAACCCCCGGTATTCCCTGTGTCTTCTGTCTGAGAAATATGTCGGATTTTCTAATAGGCTTGATTAAAACAAGATCCCTATCTTAGTAAAATTCACAACCAGGACAACGAGAGCTACATGGACAACATGATCCGAAGGCTGCAGAACTACTCCAGAAACCTGGAGCACCTGGTGGAGAAGAGAACAGCCCTGTACAAAGCAGAGAGGGATCGGGCCGACTTCCTCAACTTCATGCTGCTTCCTGGGTCGGTTTGTTCAGATGGGAACAAATTTTTTTACAGAACATAAAAAGTAGTAAACAGAATTTCAACCTGAGCAAAGGTTAAAGTTACTGATTATAAACACTATTAAACTCTGATGAATGAGTTTAGGGGAAAGGATAAACAAGTGGAACTGGAAACGGGTAATTAAGCATTATTAACAAGTAGAAAATATGTTAATGTTTTTTACCTGTCTGTGAATGAAGGCCAGTGGTGAAGAGCCTGAAGGAGACCGGTGTGGTGGAGCCAGAGCTGTACGATGAGGTGACCATTTATTTCAGCGACATTGTGGGCTTCACCACCCTGTGCCAGTACAGCACACCCATGGAGGTCGTGGACATGCTCAACGACATCTACAAGGGCTTTGACAGCATCGTCGACAACCACGACGTCTACAAGGTAAGATAATTCTTAAAATTAAAATTATATTCTGCTTACAGTATATTCACGTCTGTTTTTTGGGAGGGACTCCAGGAATGTTTAACTAGGCCTGTGAGATTTGCTCTGATGGGACTGAAATGAACTTTTCTTCTACAAGCCCCTTGTGTGCACTGTTACGCACGGTGGAGGATCTGTCATAATGTGGTGATTTTTTCATTCTAAAAACCTTAGAATTATTGCATAAACAACTTTTTTGAAAATCAGGAGATTTTGAACCCAAATGTGGTGACTTTGTTTCATTCAGCAGAATAAAAATTAAAAACATGTTGATATCAATAAACTAATGGGTAACTAAGTATAAAATCAGCTGTGTTCCAAGGTCAATGCTAAATCATTCACCACATTGAAGAGAAACAGCATAAGTGGCTCAGATTTAATTAGAAATTAAAAGCTAGATTTTTTTTTATATGTTTAATGCTTTTTTTTTTTTTACACACCTTCACAAGTGGAGCTAATAAATATAAGGGTTCCTGCACAGAACCTACTGACAGATGGGACTTTCTGCAGATATAAATCTTTAAACTTCCTGTCAGGTGGAAACAATAGGTGATGCCTACATGGTGGCGTCCGGTCTGCCAAGGAGGAACGGGAACATGCATGCGGTGGACATCTGCCGCATGGCGTTGGACATCCTATCCTTCATGGGCACCTTCCAACTCAGACACCTGCCCGGCATCCCTGTGTGGATACGGATTGGCGTGCACTCAGGTAAACAAGACATCCCTGCTCACATGTCTGCAGCTTAACTTTCACAAAGATGAGGTCCTGCTCACAGTTTTAAGGGTTTCCTGAATATAGTTTAGTTTCAACTGTTGGATCCTTGTGTCCAGGTCCCTGTGCAGCAGGTGTTGTGGGGATAAAGATGCCCAGATATTGTTTATTTGGTGACACAGTGAACACAGCGTCTCGGATGGAGTCTTCAGGACATCGTGAGCATAGCACACACATTCACTCTGACAGGCAGTTAATGAGACGTTGAGTCAAACGGACATTTCCTGCTGCTACTCCCTCTGGTTATGTTACTCCACATTAGTCTCACTACAACATGCTCTATTGAAGGTACTAAGGCATTCAGAGAAGCAGGTTAGGCTCATTTCCGCCAATGTCTGTTTGGTTCTCATCCTCCAGCCCTGCGGATCCACGTCAGTGAGCCCACAATATACATCCTGCAGAGGACAGAGTGCAAGTTTGAGTACGAGCTCAGAGGAGAAACATACCTAAAGGTAAGAATTAGCCTCTTCATCCCATGTGGTGAAGCAGTCGGTTTGGCTTCTGATGAGCTATTGTTTAATTTCCTCAGGGTAAAGGTACAGAGATGACCTACTGGTTGACAGGAGAAACTGGGAAAGACTACGACCTACCTACTCCGCCTACAACGTAAGAGAAATGATCTCACAGATTACAAAAGGTTGACAAGCCTTTGTGAAAATGCTGGTTTTAGAAGCATGATTTGGCAGGTTTTTGGAAACCAACAAGAATTTGACTTGTTTGATTTATTAAATACTGTGTGGAAGGTAAGAAGTCTGAAGCGTTTATGTCCAGGATGTGTGGGGTCTGCAGAGACGTCATATCCCCTTTTCCTGACGTCAGAAGTCCTGGATGTGTGGAAATCAGCCCTGACTGTTGTGGTTTCAAAATTTTTTGTAGATAAGCCGACCCAAACAGTAATGGACAGACTGAAAGACGGCAGCTTAGAAAGTGACCACCAGCTAATGGATGAGGTTGTTCTTTCCGAGATGCTGCAGGAAGTAATCTCTGCAGGGCTTTCCTCCAAAAGAAAACACAATATTCTGCTAAAAACCTTTCTACAAACAACAACAAGCAATCTTTTGTATTTACTCATGTAATATATATTAAAAGCTAATCTATTTTAATACACATAAAAACACATTGTTTTTGCCTATGACAAAAATCGATGAAATTCAGCTTGGGCAAAAATATGTTTAGAAACTCACTCACCAACCATCAGCATATTACTACCATTTTGCTCAGTACATCACAGGCAGATGATGTACTATGGCGAAGTCCAATTAGATAAGAGCGTGGCGTAAGGAGGAGCAAAAGGCCATGGGGAATTGAGTCAGATTACACACTGGAGACAATAATCTGAGTTTGTAACAATAATATTTAGATATTGTTAGATTGAGATATACAGCATGATATTGAAATACTGCGATGGACTGGTGACCTGTCCAGGGTGAACCCCGCCTCTGGCCTGTAGACAGCTGGAGATAGGCACCAGGACCCCTCATGACCCCGCTTGGGATAAGCATGACAAAAATGGATGGATGGATCTATTGAAATAGATGTTTCACATAAAAATTTTCTGAGATTGATTCAGGCCATTTGTAGCATTTGCCACTGATTGCGAGAATAAATTTACTAAATGGTCTAAATAGGGTGCAATAAATAGGAGTGAAATGACTTAATTTTTTTTAAATCAAAATTTCTACCCCCCCCCCCCCCCCCCCCCCACACACACACACACACACACACACACACACACACACACAGAGCTAAACTGATATTTTAATAGATTAGAAAAACCAGTTGAGACATCTCAGAATATCAGCATTAAAGAGAGGGATGGGAGGAAGGATCTGTGAGAACGCTGTATTGTGCACCTCGGATGAACATTCTGTTAACATAGAGCTGGCTTGCTTGTAGTGGGAGAGGTTAGACCAGGGGTCAGTAGCTTTACAACCTTAATAATCAATTTAAGAGTTGGTCCATCTAAACTAAATCTGTTTAGGGATTCATAAGCAACGGGAACATTTCAATCAAAATGGTTTAATATTTAGCCTTTTTTTGCTGAACAAAACTGGTATTTGCTTTGGCTTTATGCATTTTCTGCATGAGAAATCCAAATGTGATGCAAAAAATTGTGTCAAGCATGTAGATTGTAACCTATTGATAAAGAAAATTGCTGAGAAGTTAATCCTTCACTTGATCTGGATTGTCTAAGAAATCAGATATTGTTTGTCTTAGTTTAGAGCTGATCTCTCTCACACACACATCACCTCTGTGCCAGATAGAAATACTTCATAGCATTTAGGGCAGGAAAGATGATTAGAAAAAAAAAAAAAAAAAGCTTTTTACCTGTCAAGTTTTTGGCCTCTACAAACCACCTTGCCTTCTGCCCAAACTTGAAAAGGGCTTGCTCCCATTAAAGAGACCCAGGACCAACTCATCTCAGTGACATCTTTTTATTTCTCTTTTCTTTTTTTTCTTTAAATCACTTCACTTTCAAAGACAAGACAACCAAGCAGGTTGAAAACCTACAAATAAACAAAACACAATGAATTAATAAGTTTCCAGTCAATGTTTTTTACTTTTAAGTTATCAATAAAGAAGCAAAATAAAGTTAATTCCAAATGCATAAATCCATCTTTGTAAAGCCTGCTAGGTCCTCTGAATGCAGGTTTAATGTTTTAAAGTTAATTTCCTACCGAAGATGAGGTCTTTGTCTGTAGAGATTGCTCAGAACACAGGTGTGTTGAGTTACTTTATAGGCTCCTGAAGGCCTGAGTGAGTGAGATGGGTGCGCTTGATTTCTGTGAGGCGCGTACCAGTTGGGTGGAGATGGTATTGCACTCACACCAATACACCATTTGCTGTTTTAACTTGACATTACCAAATTGGTACTGCCATGATTGCAGCATCTCTGAATAACTTTTCAATCCTTCCCCTTCCTCCACCTTACAGAGAGAACGTCCAGCGTCTGCAGCAGGATCTGGCCCAAATGATCCTGTCCTGCCTGGAGCGCCGAAAACAAGGATCCATACGGAGGAAGGGCCGTTCAGTCGAGGAGGATGAAGGCTGGGAATCAGAGGGGGATTCTGAAGGTGGCCATCCTGAATATCTTCAGCTGGCCACTGTGGATAACACCCTCAGCACCTTCCTGTAGCGCTGATGGCCTGGCAGCTTTGTAATATTGCACTAAACCAAAGCAAGAAATAAGCCTGAAGGAGAAACAACGATGGAGGACAAACATTATTCAGATACTCTGCTCTCTTTTTTCCTTTTAGTAAAATGTTTAATATTCCCTCCTAAAGAGGCTAAACTGCAGCTGAGCTTTTGCACATGGACCTCTGCTTGTATCTTCATGCAGCTCTAATAATCATGAAAACAGCCCTTGTTCATCAGGCTGTTTGATCAAATGATTTAAGAAAACAATGAACTTAAGTCAAAGAAGTGTTTATTTTTTATAGACAACAGTGACAATCAGTACATAATAAAAAAAAATATATATAAAAAAAAGAAGAAACCGATCCACCACATTATAACACAGCATTACCTTAGATTCATCAAAGCGTGGTACATTTCATGTGTCACATTGTTTCATAGATAGAAAATAATTACTGCTCTGTGGACAGCAGAAGGAAAACAGGAGTCCAGCATTAGACAGAGATGCCTTCCAGCCATTTTAGCCCCATATGTCTGGGTTTTTGCTTTAGTTTTTGCACAGATATTGAAAGAGCAGCTGAAAGTGAACCCCTGCAAACGGTGAAATACAGCAGAAACCACCAAATGGAAATGATCGACCATCTGTTCATGAAAAGTAACAGAACATGCAAAATGTTTGTACAACTTAAAGGCGCATCTCAATGAATTATATCAGCAAAAAGATTCTTCACCTCAACACAAAGTGATACATTTAAAACAGTCATTGCTGTTAATTTAATTGATCATAGCCAATAGCCAGAAAAAATACAGAAAGATTAAGATTTATAAATTAAATATTTTCAATAAAGAAATGTAGGCATACAAACAGCTTAAAGCTTAGAACCTGGTCTGGTCTCTTCTTGGACAACTTTCTGCACCAAAGCAACGAGGTGTTAAAAGATCTGCTGTGGTTCTGTTCAAGCTTTGAAAAGAGAAGCAGGCTTTAGCTTGTCTGGATTCCTGCCATACTTTTTCCTTCCACTCAACTTTCCATGGGTGAGCCTGGATAAGCACTAAAACAGCAACAATAGACCTTTTGTCACCCTCCCTATAAACGGTGTTTATATTCCACCTCATTGTCTGGGTTATCAACAGAACATTTCTATATTGTGACCCCTTTTCTGAGGAAATTACTAATGGTAAGCTTTAACTATCAATAGTTACCAAAACAAATTATTGTAATAGATCACCGTGTGCAACAATTTAGAGTTTCGCTTTTTGAAAAGAATGTAATTGTTTATGTTTTAAGCTGTTGATGTAATTCATTGAGATTAGCCATACTCTATAAAAGAGGAAAACATTCATGTAAACTTAAACTAATCAGAAAACCTGATGGTTATATTTCATACAGTAGAAAACAAGCAGAAAGGCCACACCAATCCACACAACAATAAATAAAACCAAACATACAAACTCAAACTGAACGGTTTCATGTACATATCTCATCAGAATCATGTAGAGAAGAACCCAATCCCAGCTTTCAGACTGTAAAAAGATTCAACTCTGAACATGTCGGGTCAGTCTTCAAGTCAAGGCACTGAATGATCCGACTGGACAAAATAAAGATGGCTGCATCTCTGTCAGTCATTACCTGTGATGCTAACTTTTAGGGCTGGAAAATTTAGGCCGTCATCGATATCTATTATTAACAGATACATTTTTCACCTTTTTCCACCAAAACCAGGCCTGATTGATACCAATGTGTTATACAATGACTAAAATCCATAGTGACGTTAATGTAGATATATCGTAGATCTGTTATCAGCTACATGTTCTAAAAGTTTAAATCCTCTATTCTATTACTTAATACTGCAGCCCTGCTTCTAATTTCACACAGAATTAAATTACAAAACACACAAAGACATGATTTATGCCTAGATTGTCTCTAATTGTACTTTTATTTCCTGCACTGGTCAGTTGGTGCAGCAGAAGCTCACACCTGATCTACTAACAGAAGTTACCGTCTACATCTGCAGCAGGAGTCTGGGGGGCACAGATAGTTACAGAGATCTAATCACAGAAATTGGCGTTTTATTTTAAAACATCCATCATTTCTTTGCTTCCAACAGGCCCTCCTGGAAGTAGAAGGGTGTTTCTAAGGTTTCCTTTGAGATCAAGCTATTTTTTCCTCCATTAATTTTCATATGAAAATGAAAAAAGAAAAGACCAAAATAACCATGGTTATAGATATCCCTGTTAAACAAGTGAGCCTAAAGGTGGGTTTATGCTTCAACGAGGAAATTAGATGCTGACCCAGTATTCTAGCTGACTCTAGGGGGCAGTGGAGCAAGTTTTAAACCTGTAGAAATCACAGCTGTTGGTTTTTAATCCTTCTTTGTGTCATCAAAGGGTGATATTCATTTACTTTCTAAGGGTTATTCATGTTGTACGGAAGAGGATTAGGGCCACTGGGAAAAAGAAAAAAAAGTAAACTGATTTTTTTTTATTTTATTTCAGTATAGTAGAGTTCTGACCTTAATCTCAGAATTCTGACTCTATTCTCAGAATTCTGACTTTTTTTCTCAGAATTCTGACCTTAATCTCAGAATTCTGACCTTGATCTCAGAAGTCTGAATTTAATCTCAGAATTCTGAGAAAAAAGTCAAAATTCTGAGAAAAAAGTCAGAATTCTGACTTTTTTTCCCATGTTAAACTGAAATAAAATTTAAAAATCAGTTAACTTTTTTTTTTTTTCAGTGGCCCTAATCCTCTTCCGTATGTTCTGTTGAACATGCTGATATATATGAGCCAAATCATAAGATGTCTGAAGGTGTCTGTATTTCTAAACCAGCAGGAGGTGGGTTCTTTGCACCAGTGTCTGCGTAGTTATAATTTTCCCTAGATGCATGCAGCACTGTGTGGAACCAGAATTAAACAAGCACGGTGTTAAAAAAAGAAAATCTAAATTATGGGGCTTGGCTAACTGAAGCGGGCGAGGTTTGTGGTAGTCCTGCCTAGACATTCTGAGGATAAGAAAATGAATGCTCTGCTATTACTTCTACTGCAGATGTTGAGGTGTCTTGGTGAGAATCCTGAATTCCTGATTTTAAATCTGCTTTGAAGGGAATGTTTTCTTGTCTTTCCCACTTTTTTAAGAGTGGGCAAAACAAAAAAAAATCTCTTCCGTGATCAGATTTATACCAAAAGGACATAGGATGTCACGGATTACTAAATTAGCATTGGCTGACGAGGGAGTTAAAGATCCATCAGAAACCCCTAACGACCACCATTAACACCCTCCATGTGTCCTTTCTGGCTAATCCAGTGGGAGGAAACAAAGCTTTTGCCCCCCCATCCCCAACTCTTTCTTAGACCTACAGTATATTAATCTCAGTGCTTCCCACCACTAGTTAGACCTGAAGAAGCCTCTTGGAGGAGAGGTGAAACGTCTTCTAAAACAATTAATGTCCAGTTGCCTAGACAGGAAATTTTCAAGCTTGACCATGACCTGGAGGACTGAGAATCTTCTGAAATAATTTGGCTTTACTTAAATAAAAACAAACGTAATAATATCAGCCCTCTAGATATTTAGCATGAGGCTGAATCGTCCCACTTTTACCCCCTGTGGTATGGCATTATAACAGTAGAATCACTTGGTTTAAGGCTCATGTTTTTAAATGTATTTTTGAATTGATACCTCTAGGCTGTGGGTTAAGTCTCCAGCAGAAAATTAAACCTGAGAAATTTCACCATCCTTCAGTTTTTTAAGCTACTCTTAGCTTTCATCTACCTGTCAATGCTCAGTTTCATGTGTTATCTTATTTTCCTCCCTAGATTCAAGAAAACAAGCTGTCTTTAAACAAATTGCTAACATCTCCAATAAAACAAAAATATACTTCTAATAATGATAAAAAAAAAAAAAAAAAAAAACAGGGACAAAAGTCTATGATGATCATATTTTTTCTTGGTTATGATAGCATGATAAATTGGAAGCCAAAGAAATGAGACGATGCACCTTATCTGCACTCATACAGAGGAATCTGCTCCTCCTATCATCCCTTTAAGCTCCATTAAATCCTATTGACTCAGCAGCAGCTGCAGCCTCTGGAGGTGCAGCAGCACCAGGAAGCTCTGGTGCAAATTTAAGACTTAAGACCAAACTGTGCCTCTCCTACAGCAGTAACCTCCTCATCCCTTCTTGTTGAACATATCTCTAAACAAAAACATCTAGAAAAAAAGGCCAAGAATGTCTTTATTTTAACCCATTTTCTGTATTTACAAAAAAATAGATTTTTTTATGATTCAATTGTCAATAACTCACACCTGATGGACACACCTATGCCACCAGTATAACATCAGATCCATACATATATACCATGTTCCCCACTGAGAACAGAGGAAGACCATTGGCCTGATAGCTCCTCACTCTTCTAGCGCCTAAGTGATTATATCGTCATAATTAAAAGGACGGATGTTGGAGGGCGGTGCAGCTTTTCAAACGCAAATACATATTTTTTTGTGAACAAATGAGCAATTGTGGAGGCGATTAAGAACGGAGCCTGTGACTCAGCAGCTGAAAGTCCATTTTATATTCTTGATATCTTCTTGCTATCTTAAGGTTATTATTATCAGATTTTAACAGCAAATAGGAGCCGAATAGAAATGAAAAGCAGGTGTACTCTGTTCTATTGTGATCGTACATGATGCAGCATGAACAGACGCCACTGAAGGAAAAGTCATGGGCCAGATGCTGCACCGCCATTCCCACTGTCAGTCACTCCGCAGTGAACACTCTGATGGTCCGTCACCTCAGGGCTTCTGCCCCTTGCTTCAGCCAGCCGTGATTTGACTCTTTGGATATAATTTACTAAGATCCATTACTGCCCTTCAGCTATCTACATACAATTAAACCGGAAAATGTTTTCGAAGCATTTTGCTACAGCTGACCTTATTTCTCATCGTTTGCTGATGCCTTCAGGCACCCGTTTAAAATAAAATCAGAGTTTTACAGACGGACCGCTGATGGAAACCCACGGCCTCCCGTCGTTTTACATGCGGGACCCGTGGATCTGGAAAAGCTGTGAAGCAGAACAAAAATAAACATCAGGAGCTGTTATGATCAGCAGGGTAAAACTAACAGGACAGAATAATTTCATCCGGTCTGAGCTGCGATGTGGCTGCAGTGACTGAGATGATGATGAGGATGAATGTAGTGAATGCATGACAGTAAATAACTGAACTATTAACTCAGAGACCATAACAAACTCAGTTTTTTTCCCCCATTTATGTCGTGTGTGTAGTTCTGTGAAGGTGTGCAGATTTAACTCTGGTCTTGGCACGGTGTGTTTACTGACTGAGATCTAATACAGCGACTGCGGAGAAACGAGGGGGAGGCGTCACGTCACAGCATCACTTTACAACAGACCTTATTCATGTCACACATCAACACAAATCCCTGCATTATCAGGATTCCTACAGCATTAGGAAAGTTAAATTCAAGACTTTTTAATACCACTTGAAATACAACTTTAAGACCAAATTCACAAGAAACATAAGAAAAACCTGCTTGCGACAATTAAACCCAAAGGTTTATTTTAACATAAACCACTGCACCAATGTTTCAAATTTTGAAAAACTTTCCATACAGGAAGAAAGCAAAAAACAGACAAATGACAGATATATTTTAACAATTATTTAACTGAATTCACAAACTTTGCTTTAGCAGGGAACAAAACAAATCAGTTTTAAAGCCACAACATAACCAGTCCTAAGTCTTTTTTGCAGCTATTTTTCTTTTTATCGTTTTCTTAGTATGTTTGATTTGGTGATAAGTGGAGGCGTTGCAGAGACAATGGTGGAACAAAACTGAGAAATACCGGCTGTTTCTCGGTAACTCGATTTTGACGATTTGTGTTTCGCGCTTCGCATGCGACTCCACTGCTTTAATTCCCATCGTTCTGAGCTTGAATCGCTTCTTGTACAAAATGCACTGTGCCTCATGTATGTTCCCTGGTTTTAGCCATGGAGAAAACTCTTGGCTGGAGCCAATTTTCGTTACATTTACACTTGCTCATATTTTCCAGACACAAAGTAAATGGTGCATCTACCAAATGTCCCGCTCACAACAACGCTTTTATTGGTTCCGCTATCGGGACGGAACCAATAATGGCGAGCCGTAAAGAAAAATTGTCAATTTTAACGTTTTATTTAGATTACAAAAATAAATCGTAATAAAAATAATCCTATTTATGATGTTTTAAAAATTAAGACATGTTAATACCAATCAAGGCCTTAGTTTTATTTTGAAGAATTCAATGCTTATTAAGACTTTTTAAGAACCCACGGGAACCCTGATTATGGAAGGAAAATTAAAGTGTTTTTTTATAATTTTGTACCAATGAAAGTCCACAGAGTGGGTTCTGTCCAGTTGGATAAAGCCTGTCAGCAGAGGGAAGCATGGAGATCTAAATGTCCTGGTAGATGGCTGCGGTGGCCATGGAAACCTTACACTAGCAAGCAACATGGATAATGTGCTAACACACTCCTCGATTGGACGCAGGAACTTGATTTCTTAATGGAAGGAAGACATAACTAATTTCACTGACAGACAGTTCAGTTCCAGTTCTACACCAGTTAACGATTCATCGATTACTAAATTAGTTGAGGATTATTTCAGTAATTGATAATTGTGATTAATCCGATTAATTGTTTCCGCCCTAGTAGGATCCATCTGTTCATAGCGGCACTTGATGTGGGACTCTAGTGAAAATACAGTCATTCCTGTTGCTGGTGCAAAGTTTTCTTTCCAATCAATTTTCTATGAATGTGCTTTGATACAGCGCTCTGAACAACCAGCTTCTTCAAAAATGTCCTTTTGTGTTTCCTGTAACTTGTCGAGGGTGTCAGTAAGGGTCTTCTGAAAATCTGTCCAGCCAGAAGTTCCACATAATTTTATTTCCTACTGACCCAGACTTGGAGAACGACTAGACTCAAGAAAACCTTTGCAGGTGTTTGGAATGAATTTTCACAATTAGATCAAATCAAGGTTTGAACTTTCTGAGTGTTAAATCTAAAACGAATTTCACTTTCTGAAAAACCACTAAAAACAATAAACTCTTTGGTTATATCCTTATTTTTGGTGCAGAATTTTTTGTAAGTTAGCAGTAAAACATCCCCATCTCTGTTATAGTGGACTTATTTAAGCTGCTTTTACCCAATTATCAGTTTTTTGGTACCTTGATCGTTTCAATAAACTAAGCTCAAACTAAGCCTAACCCTAAGCGCAGTGGTATGACACCCCCACCGTGTTTCTGCAGACATAGAAACATATAAACACACAATAATCTGTAGCCACTGACATCCTCTTCATGGTTTCTCACCCATTCCTGCCTCTCTTTGGAACAAAGAAACATGACTCCCTCATTCTCTAAGCCACTCATTCGGTGTGGTTTCTCCCCCTCCCTCTTCTTCCTCCTCTTCCTCCTTCGCCGCCTCCTCCTCCGGCTTCTCTGGTGGCTTCATATGGCACGAGGGAAGGAAGAGAAAACACAAAGGAGAGAAAGAAAAGGAAAAAAAAAGCGAGACAAAAATAAAAAATAAAAATGAAAAACGTAAAACGCTGATGAGTGTCAGAAAGGAGTCGAGTGGAATGTCTAAGGATAAGTGCAGAAAGATGTAAATCAATTCCAAAAAAATTAAAAACAATCCACTGGACTTTGCTTTCCAAGTTTGAAGACGTGTCGCTTCCCATCCAGGAAGCTTTTTCAATTCAAAATGTCAGAAATAGTGTTGAGTTCGAGGTTTTATACAGTAGCCCAACAAAGCCCTGTTTTTGTTTTGAAAGCAGGCAAATTGGAACAGATCAACGCTTTTCCTGACATTTTGAATTGAAAAAGCTTCCTGGATGGGAAGCAAAACATCTTAAAACTTGGAAACAAAGTCCAGTGGATTGTTTTTAATTTTTTTGGAATGACTATGACCTGGATGACTGGGAACCTTAACCAGCATGTACATCAATATATCTGAGAGAGAAAGAGCTGATGGAGAGGAAGATGGTGGGTGGGAGCAGGACGGAGAAGCAGAGCAGTTAAAATGTGTGTGAATGACATTTTGAGACGAGTGACATTTGGATCATTTGATGCATGGCACAACTCCAGCTGGAGGAGGGCTCCCCTCTTCTCTCTTACAACATAAACGTGCCTGGATGAGCCAAGGACACGGACCACAGCATAACAGCAAACTTTCAACATTCTGTCACCTTGGTTTTGTGGCTCTGCTCCGTTCCTAGGCCCGACCCAGGCGTGTGAAGCTCCTTTGATACGACACACAGGAACTCGGCCTGGTCCTCCGTCCCGTAGCTGTAGGAGGAGCCGATGTTCACCATCTAGAGGAGGAACGAGGTACACAGAGGACAGACACAGAGAAAGCGTGGTTGTCAGGGGCGGGTCGACAATTGGGTGGCACAGAAAACACGGGCAGATAAAGGATCAGTTTGAAAAAGCAAGACGTGGTGTTGGCTCTCATGCGGGGTTGAGTTTAGGGAGGCAGGGAATCGAAATGAAAGCAGTGGAGGAACTTTAGTCCAGGCAGGGTTCTGGAAGCAGCAGCGCAGCATGCAGTTGAGCAGGGAGGCAAAGCTGCAGAAGAGGGAACGATTAAGACCTACAGCTCTTTATGTAAGGAGCAGAAACCAGAAGATCTTGACCTCTTTGTATATTTCTTCTATGAACTCAGAAAGCCTCAGTACACAGACTAGTTCTGGTCAGAATGTAGAAATTCTCCACAGTAATTTTCAATAATCTGTCTACTTGTCTTGCTCTGGACACCAGAGAGAAGCTCAACTGTATCTAGAAAGATGCTTATGAATCAGAATTTCTTTTATAAAATCTGAAATCTACCTTATTAGCGCTTTCTGGTAGAAACAAATATGTCCAGAACCTTGTTAAAGTATTCATACCCTTAAAGCTCGAAGAGTATTTATTGGTGCTGATGTGAAACACCAAGACAGAGGAGGGGATAATTGTCCCATTGAAGCAAACTGTTGCATGTTTTTCTTATTTGTTTTACAAATTAACATCTGAATCTAACTACAGCTGTTCTGTTTCATGCCTGAGAGGTTCTTTAAAGAACATGAAAAAACTATGAAGGAGTGCAGAGAGCAGGGCTAAGGTCAGGGGATCAGACCGGGGTCAAAACTAAAGGGTCAGCAGCTGCGTGAGTCCAACCCACAGTCCAGAGCAGTCCGGTGCGGGGCTTTCTGCAGGTGCGCACGCTGACCTGCTCAAACTTCCAGCCGTCCGACATGGTGGAGACCATCTGGGTCAGCTCCTCCTCCTGGCACTGCAGCACTCTGTAGACATGCTTGGGTGGTACCTGCTGGGGGATGGAAAGAGAGAGAGAGAGAGAGGTGAGGCCACTGATAAAGAACTAAGAAAATAAGGAAAACCTGACAGACTAGTTATTTTACATCTATCGCTGAATGGAACTCATGCATGACGTCTTTCATAGCTCAGAAGCTCGGAAACAGGCGATCGAGCATCTTTGAACATTTAGAGGCCGCCTTCATGGGCAGCTATCAAACACAGATAGAAAGTGACCAGAAGATGAAATCTTTCATTCTTGACATATTAGCTTGATGTTTATCCAGAGGCAGAGTGTAGCAGTGAGTCACTTGCGTGGCTTAATCACTACAGTGGGCCACATTTTAGAGACGTTATGTAAGACCAAGCAAGAAAAACAATGCCCAAATAAAAGATTTGTGTTTGATGCTGTTGATAATAATCTGCTATATATTTAGGAGCTCTGGATTCTTTATGTAATCTCCAATTTAGGATTTCCCAGGTATCCGAAAATGTGATCTAGGTGGGCTGAGGAAAGATGTGTCCTGTTCATTAAATAAATAAATATTTATCTATATCAGATATTAATGTTGATATTATTACAAATGTTACACATCCTATGAACATAGCTTCCTGTCCTTTCAATACTGTGAAAAAACAACATATTTATACTCAGAAAAAAGTAGGGAAGTTCAAATCTTCCAAAATTGTGGAGTCTTTACCTGTGTGGCTTTTGAGTCCCTCTCTATGATCCTGTCCTTGATAAGTTTGATCAGTGGGGTGATGTTGTAAAACTCTGCCTCCTCAAGGACTCCTTCAAACCAGAAAAAAAAGAAAAACACTCAGTTATAGCTGCAAATGCGAACTAGACACATTTTTCAGCTTTCTGGCATTAATACATCCCTATAATGTACATTTCTTTAAATCTTAGCATGTTTGCATAAAATAACAAAATCTTACACATTTTCCCTGAAACATAATTACATATTTCAAACCTCTAACTGAATATTCTTTGAAATCTTTTTCTATTTGTTATAACTGTCATTTACTCTGCAGCGGGTCGTATATATCCCTTCGTAACTGTTGTTTAATCTCGTTAATATTAGAAATACAGCATTCAGGTCATTGTGTGAAAAACAGGAGCTTCCTCATTTAGTTAATCTCTATTTTCTAACAATTTTATTATGTTCAACTGTTAAATATCTGCTAAAGCATCTAATGCACCTGCAGAGATAAATCATGCAAAAACCTACTGAAATCACTGTGGTACAGTGTTATAATAACATTACTGCTGCACATTATCTGCACATGTGTGATGACTTCCTTTCTGTTTCTCCATCTCCACCAGAGTCTGTGAGCTTAAGCATCTCGGCCACTAAAAATATTCAACCAATCAGGGCATCGTGGGGAGTCGAAGTCTTGGTCCAACAGGACAAAAATACTGTTGACCTGCAGAATTTAGATCATAACGCTCTAAATAGAAGCCCAGCAGATGTTGTATTGAAGCAGTTCTTGTTCTCGCTGATATTGTGACTATTGATGACGTTGCTCCGTTACCAATCGCTGCGTTTTTCCAGTTCCCACTGATCATAGGTTGTCTGATAGACGTACAGATTGTTTGTATACTGGTTTCTTCTGTCGAGGATCCATTATGGGCATCTAAATGTTTTCATTAGACTAACTGCTCAAAGATACATCTACAGGTGCTCGTCATAAAATTAGAATATCATGAAAAAGTAGATTGATTTCAGTAATTCCATTTAAAAAGTGAAACTTGTATATTATATTCATACATTACATACAAACTCATATATTTCAGATGTTTATTTTGTTTAATTTTGATGATTACAAATGACAACAAATGAAAATCTCAAATTCATCATATCAGAAAATTAGAATATTACTGAAGACCAATAAAAACAAAGGATTTATAGAAATGTTGGCCAACTGAAAAGTATGAACATGAAAAGTATGAGCATGTACAGCACTCAGTATTTAGTTGGGCCTCCTTTGGCCTGTATTACTGCAGCAATGCGGCGTGGCATGGAGTCGATCAGTCTGTGGCACTGCTCAGGTGTTATGATAGCCCAGGTTGCTCTAATAGTGGCTTTTAGCTCTTCTGAATTGTTGGGTCTGGTGTATTGCATCTTCTTCTTCACAATACCCCATAGATTTTCTATGGGGTTAAGGTCAGGAGAGTTTGCTGGCCAATTAAGAACAGGGATACCATGGTCCTTCAACCAGGTACTGGTAGCTTTGGCACTGTGTGCAGGTGCCAAGTCCTGTTGGAAAATGAAATCTGCATCTCCAAAAAGTTGGTCAGCTGCAGGAAGCATGAAGTGCTCTAAAACTTCCTGGTATGTGGCTGCGTTGACCCTGGACCTCAGAAAACACAATGGACCAACACCAGCAGATGACATGGCACCCCAAACCATCACTGACTGTGGAAACTTTACACTGGACTTCAAGCAACGTGGATGAAGTGCCTCTCTTCTTTTCCTCCAGACTCTGGGACCTTGATTTCCAAAGGAAATGCAAAATTTACTTTCATCAGAGAACATGACTTTGGACCACTCACCAGCAGTCCAGTCCTGTTTCTCTTTAGCCCAGGCAAGACGCTTCTGACGCTGTCTGTGGTTCAAGAGTGGCTTGACACAAGGAATGCGACAGCAGAAACCCATGTCTTTCATACGTCTGTGTGTGGTGGTTCTTGAAGCACTCACTCCAGCTGCAGTCCACTCTTTGTGAATCTCCCCCACATTTTTGAATGGGTTTTGTTTCACAATCCTCTCCAGGGTGCGGTTATCTCTCTTGCTTGTACACTTTTTTCGACCACATCTTTTCCTTCCCTTCGCCTCTCTATTAATGTGCTTGGACACTGAGCTCTGTGAACAGCCAGCCTCTTTAGCGATGACCTTTTGTGTCTTGCCCTCCTTGTGCAAGGTGTCGATGGTCGTCTTTTGGACAACTGTCAAGTCAGCAGTCTTCCCCATGATTGTGTAGCCTATAGAACTAGACTGAAAGACCATTTAAAGGCTTTTGCAGGTGGTTTGAGTTAATTAGCTGATTAGAGTGTGGCACCAGGGGTCATCAATTTTGAACCTTTTCACAATATTCTAATTTTCTGAAATGATGAATTTGAGATTTTCATTTGTTGTCATTTGTAATCATCAAAATTAAACAAAATAAACATCTGAAATATATGAGTTTGTATGTAATGTATGAATATAATATACAAGTTTCACTTTTTAAATGGAATTACTGAAATCAATCTACTTTTTCATGATATTCTAATTTTATGACCAGCACCTGTATGTGCCGTCTTTTTTAGGTCACTTTTGCACATTTAATCCATCACACATCTCATTTCATTCTCTAGAGCAGAGATTTTCAACCAATGTGTCGCGGCACACTAGTGCGCCGTGAGAGATCGCCAGGTGTACTGTGGGAAATTAGACTGGATTAGGGACTCATAAAGCACATTATCGATTGGTGGACATGACTTTAAAGGAGCTAGAGTTAACTCTGCTGACCTTCCTTTGGATGGTTTTTGGTTATCTGTTGCCAAGGAGTTCCCAATTCTGGCCAACAAAGCTATTTTGACATTGCTCCAGTTTTCAGCCACATATCTGTGTGAGCTGAGCTCCTCAAGCTTCACAGCGATAAAAACAAAAAACAGAGAGAGACTAAGAACTGTTGAGGAAGAGCTTTGTTTGTCTTTCTACCATTCCTGCCTGTATATCCCTTTTGTGTTCATCGAAATAGGCCCAGGTTTCACAATAAGTGAGTATAAATACATTTAGAAACTATATTATTGACTATATCTATAATATGTACTGTGTTAGAGTGTCATTTTGTGTCCTTTTGGTGGATGGTGTGCCCAAGGATTTTGTAAATGTAAAAACTGTGCCACGGCTCAAAAAAGGTTGAAAATCACTGTTCTGCAGGACCGTTAAACGTAGCGCAGATAAAGGGCCAATCAGGTCATTGTAGACATCTTGAAAATGAATATTAATCCTAATGAAATTATGATTTTATCCATTGATTATTAGTGTCCTTTTTAGCTGCTCTCATATTCAGGGGACATCAGAGCAAATCATTATCTGGGAAAGTTTGCACACCAAATGGGACCAGGAATCAGAGCCAGGTTCCTTGTATCACAGGCAAAGACTTAAAACCCCTTTCCTTATAGACTATATTGGATTAAGATTACACTTTTATTAATTTTATAACAATTTCAGCTCATGCAAAAAGGGTTTTATTTAAAGAAGTTGCACCCTAATAAAAATCAGGTGGCAGTATGTACCTGTGAGCTAGTTTACCTCCCAACATAAACTACATGAAGAGGAACCTCAGCAGTATTATTCAGCACAACTCTGATTGGATGAAGCACCATTTGATCATGACCCAACCAATCAGCTACACTCTTGCTGAACAGCATAACTTCATCCAAACACAAACTAGATCAAATTGGCATTAATTGCAGCTAAACTGGCTGCACTTAATGCACAGCTAAAATATTAAGGTGAGTTTTAAGGTTCTGCTTTGTTAACTTTACGTAAAATCATTTTGCCATGCTGTCCTAATGACCTAAATGGCTGTGCTGGAATGAGTGACTGTGGTTGATATTGATGTGCAAATGAAGTTTTTTTGACGTCATGATTTTGCCTTGCTTGCTGAACAACCAAGAGGTAAATGAGGGGTAATTTGCAAACCTTAGTCCACATGTTTTTACAGGGTTAATGATAAGTTTGCAGGCACACAGGTCAAACATTTAACTCTGGCTCAGCATCAGGTTTGCACTGGGAATGCATCACCTATTTAGCGTTCACTACTTTTTATCTGCATCTGGGACGATCAAATAAAGAAGCCATTATCACTTGATTACTGAATTGGAAACATTTTATCCCAGGGTTCAAATCCTTGCTCCGATGCCTAATAGCCATAAACTTCCATCGAGATACCTTCCTCTGCGAGCTCCTTGTTGTAAACCAGTTTGCCGTGCCGCAGGTAGTTCAGGATGGGACCAAAGTAGGTTGGGTCTCTGTCAATTACATAGGCTCCAGTCTCATCCTAAAACAAAGAGGAAGCAAGAAAAACACTATTATTATACTGTTACCACCTGATATAACAACACTGAAAAGACAAGCAAGGAAGGAAGGAAGGGGAGAAGGAAGGAAGGAGGGATGATTCCTGTTACCTTTCATTAGTAAACTAAAACAGGCTCTTTTAGATGCTTTTCTATTGATTGCACTTCTTTTAATGAGTAATTTATCAAAAAGATACATTACTTGTTTTATCTTCTTGATTGAACAACTTCCTCTGCAAAGTACATCAGTCTCTATTTTTAGACTCTAAAGTTCACCAGCTGGAAAATAACATCCTGCTTGGACAATTTATTTTTAAATATGTTGCAGCGACTGCAGTGGAAAAGGGAATCTTTTAGAACTATCTTAATTCTCATCATCCGTGCAGAAAACTTGTGTCAACTTCTTCATTCTGCATGTTTAAAACTTGCCTACAAATATAAAAGCAAGCAAAACATTCTTCTCTGCTCTATTAAAACCAGAGGGAGCTTCACGAGGAGAGCACTCTCTCTTCATCTGACCGAATCCTTCAGCAGCAAAGAAAATAAAAAAAGCTTTGCCCTTAAGCTGCTTCTTCTTTGAAAGCTGCTGCACAAAAACAATCCTAACAGGCCTTTTTTAAGCTTGCTATTATCAGAGCATTGCACAATTTGAATGCAGCCTGACTGCATCTTTTATAAAAGGACCTTGCTGGTCAAACACGGAGACCTCGATATTGACAGCATAATAAAATGGAGTGGTTGCTCTTTAACCCAATCACTGTTCATCTGATGACTGAAAATGGGGGGAAAGTTGATTTGAGAATAAATAACCATAAAAACAAACATACAGGTTTAATTGCAGCATGGATCAACCTATGACCAATAAACCAAAGCAGATTTAAAAAACAGACTGGAGTAAACGATCCAAACATCATTAAGGTTTCAAATGATGGTTTGAAATCATAATGTCACCTGTTGTAAAGAAAAAAAGCTGTGTTTGAAACTAATAAGTTGATTGAATTGTTAAATTACAGCTGAAGATTTCGTTCTGCTTAGAATGACAGAGATACTGTTTCTGTGTGCCCTTTCTCCAGAGAGAATTAAACATTTATAGCAAAGAACTACTTCAATGGAGCAGAAAAAATAACTTTTTTCCTTTAAAGTTGGGTATGCAAGCAGCTGACAAGAAGAGTATTAAAATATGTCATGAGCTGAATGATGAGTATGGAGTGTAAACAAGATGGACGCTTCAACCTAATTCTGAGTTTTGGCTCAGGGTCTCGGTCTGGGGTTCCTAAATAACCGACCTCAGTTTTGATACCTGCTGTTGCAGAGAAGAAGTCAAGAGCGCGTTGTCAGAGTTGAGCGTGCAGAAGAACAGTTTTGAGCGAGGGTGTGCGCGAGTTCACATGCGCATTGTTCTACCTGGACGCTCACTTTGGTGGCACCAAAATTACGCAATAGATGTTAAGCAAAAGAACGCGAAATGCAAAGTTTGGCTAAAAAAAACGTCGGGACTACCCGAAGTAACACATCCAACCTCCCCCACCTACAGCTCAACCATACTGTCGAGTTCAAAGATGTGCAAAAGGCTCCATTACCTTTGCACAAAAGATTTTTGAAAGAGAGGAAACATTTTTCTCCTGTTCAATGAGACATTGTTGAATTTTTAAACCTAAATGGGTACAAGAATTTAATATTTAACTGAAAGTAATATGTTATGCGATTTATTCAAAAAATAAATTATAAATAGATCAGCTGCGTTTCCTGCACATGCCTTTACTTCTGTGGAGGAGCCGGGTTATTTATCATGCTTTTAATGTTATCAAGGTAAAACTGCCCCATTTATCGTGATATTAATTTGAGGTCGTATCGCCCTGCACTAGTCTGTGATTATTTATACAGCAGAGCAGTGACCAGTTGTCTAAAAGAGCAGAAACAACTTTCCTTTGAGTTAACAACTGGAAAAGACTGAGATAAACATTTTACTTGTGGTTAATAATTAATAACTCTGCCTGAATTAAAAACCAAGTTATTGACATTTTGCTGAGACATCTTAGATTTTAACAGCCTGTACAAACAATCCAACCATAAAGGTTAGCCATAAATAACACCTGCTAATTAAACAAACTGTCAGAAATAATCATTTAATTAATGGTCATTACTTGGTTTTTCAAGTAAAAAAACAAAAACAAAAAACTAAGCAAATAAAACAGCGAAAGGAGAGAAACGGGAAAATGGGATGTGACATAAAGCGAGGAGGAAATGTGCAGAAATGCAGCATTGGCTGAAAAATCCCTGTGATCAGAGACTGAAAGGGGTGTGACTGACAAATAGGCTCCAACACACACACACCATGCTGAATGAGAAGAGCTGCAGTGAAGAACAGAGCGACGCCTCGTCAACGTGACTGGACTCGTCAGTGAGGGGGTAAAAAACACCACGAGAAGAATTCAGAGGTTGATCGTTCTGCCTGGTCAGAGTCTGCATCTCTAACATAACCTGAAGGGTTCTACTTTTCTCCCTGATCGCCTCCTGCTTCCGTCTGTGCCGCATAAAAACCAAAACAGCAATAAGACAGAACGCTAATTAAATATGTTTGCATGGATGATGTTGGTCCGTTAGCTCCAATTATTGGGAGTAGAGCCGGAAAATTAGATTGGCAACAGAATCAGCATTTAAAAAAAATTGATGTCTAAATCCTTGAGGTTCTTAGCTTTCCATTCAACAGGAGTAGTTTTCTTACTCCAGCTCTTTAGGTCTAACATGTTTGACCACAGCAGAGGAGTAGCACTGAGATGAAAGTGGGCAGTTTTATGTTTAAGAAGATAAATTCAGAGATCCTTGACCCAGCCAAAGATGAAAAGTCCAGGACCAATGGAAGATGTAACATTTCTGAATTAACTAACTCTGAGATAGAACACAAGCTCTTTGAAATGGCAGCAGGTCATGTTCAGTCATCCAGCCCTAACAGCTTAAAAAAAATTTCATTCCACAATTTTTTTCCACTAATTTAAATGTGTTTAAATTAGTGCTGTCAATCGATTAAATTTTTTTAATCGCGATTAATCGCATCAATGCCCAAGTTAACTCACGATTAATCGCATTTTAATCGCACATTTTTTTTCTGATTGAAAATCATTTAAATACTCTCGATGACATACAAAAAAATACATACAGGCTAGGTTTGTGCCAATGTTCTTTTTTTTTAAATGAAAACAGGTCACAGACACTGATTTATGCCATAGAAACATATGGCAAGAAGATGGGGAGGCATGTAGCAAAAAATAACAAATATCCAAAAAAAAGGCCCTGAAAACAGGCTGATGTAAAAGACAGTCTTTACAGTTAATACAGTCTTTTGAACAAAGACAAGCATTTTACCCTACTGCTATAAAATGTAGTAGAGTTAACATTAGATGTTAATTAACCAAGATAATAATGAACAATTTTCAATCAATACATCAAAATCAATAGACCGACATCACTAGATGGAGGTAGTCTATGCTCTAGAAAGTTACTTTTCAGCCTCTTAACAAAAATGAGAACACACACACACCCACCCACCCACCCACACAGACACACACACACACACACACGATACTGACCTGTGGCGTACACAGACAGCAAGAGTGCCGTAGCAGATTCCATTTCACCTCAATAATCTGTTTTCTCAGCGTATTTCAGGTTGCTACTAGTTACCAGACACTCAACTTGTTTGTCGGTGGTGGGGCTTAAAGAAAAGGCACCAGCGTCACCCAGTGTATGAGCGTCTTTTTCCCTTGAGGAGCTCCGCTCTCGAAGCCTATGAGAAATGCATAGACTGGGGGGAAATAGCCCCGCCTTCTCGCAGGCTGCAGCGGGATGTACTTGGAAAATTGTACCATAAAACCACATAGCGTTAATCTCACGGTAAAAAAATTATCGCCGTTAAAATGGCCTCGCGTTAACGCGTTAATAACGCGATAATTTTGACAGCACTAGTTTAAATACACATTAACATGAAATCAACACACTGTAGTAAACAGATAAATGGAGGCAGAAGATGTCTTTCAGTCATCAATGCACACATTCAGCGACACACAGGAGCTCTTTCAAGCTGGGCACCGTTTTATTCAGAACACCTGTCCTATCAACCAGGAATGAGAATTAGAAATAATTTAATAATCCCAGGGCGAAATTACTTTAGTTACATTACTCCATCTGTAATAGAGTGACTATAGGACTAGGGCTGCAACAACGAATCGATAAAATCGATAAAAATCGACTTTTAAAAGCGTTGGCAACGAATTTCATCATCGATTAATTGTGTCGCGCGATTATTGCGTCATCCGCCGCGCCGTCATCACTGCCTCTTGACTGAAAGAGGAAGAAAAAAAAATATGGCAGAGCGAGTCAGCGCCGCAGGAGCAGTGTTGCCAACTCAGCGACTTTTCAGACCCCTCCAGCGACTATTTTTCAAAAAAGCGACTAGCGACAAATCTGGCGACTTTTTTTGGTTTCACTGGCGGCTTGACGGCGCAAATTGATCACAATAATTAAAATAGCCTGCGCTTTGTAAAGCGAAAAAAGTGATAACATGCAACTTTTTTCAAAAGAAATTAACATGGCACGGAACCACCATGTTTGTTTTGGTTTTAAAGTGGGGAAACGTTACGTTAGTTTCTCAGGTAGCTCATCTGATGCTTTCCTTACCGTGTTAGTAGGTTACAGACAGTGATAAGGTTGGCTACTTATTTTACTTTTAATTTCATTTGAATTAGCTTAAGCAGCGTTTACATTTACTTTATAAATAAATTAACTTGCAAATTATGAGGGCAAGGCTTTTAAAGTTTAAATCTTCTGGCGAAGATAAAGTAAAGAAGATCCTGCAATTTATGGAAGTAAAGCAGAATAAAATCCAGCAAGATCAGTAATATGTCAATTAATTATATGCCACATTCCCATGTAAATATCTGTCTTTGGAGGATGTGTTTTTAGCACCCCTAGTTCTCTCATTTTTATT